CACCCGTCACGGCAGTGTCTCAGCTGCCCCTGAGGTCCTGGGGGAGAACCCAGGGATGGCCCCAGGGGAGCTGGATGTCCCCAGGGCTCAGGCAGTCTCTGCCGGGGGCTGGGGTGGGGGTGGGATGCCTTGAGCAGGTGTGAGTAGCAGGGCGGGAGCGGTTCTGGGCAGCGGGCGGGTGCAGCCGCCAGACACAGCACCCCTGGGGAGCCTTGTTCCAGCGGCCCATCAGCTGGGCCTCCAGCAGCGGCAGGGGAGCCGGAAAGGGCTTGACTCTCAGGAGCGGCTGCCAGCCATCACAGGGAGGTCTTTTGTGTATGTGCTTTTTTACAACCCATTTCACCGTTTCCAGAAAAGGTAGCTCGCTTAAGTCAAAACAAATGCTCCTGCTGCTGTACTCCATGCTCCCACTCCTGCTCCCGGGCTCTCCCAAACCCTTCTCTGTCTGTCCCCCCGTCAGCCTGGCTGACAGGGAGGTAGAGACTGGAGGCAGAGGAGGTGGGCAGGCCCTAGGCGTCTAGTCCCCCAGGGCCAGCCTCCGGAGCGCCAGCCCTTTGCGCTCTGCTGACTTTGCTGCCCGTCAGACACTCCCTGGACTGGAAGCTCCTTGGAGCAGCCCTGGACTCCACGGCAGGGACCCCCTCAGCACCCCTCTGGCCTGCCCAACTTCTGTTGAACGTCTTGGCTGCAGCCTGGCAAACAGGCTGGCAGAGGAAGGCCCCCGCCCCCTGGTTTCGCCTGGGGGCACGTGGGGCAGCCTCGAACACGGCCAGCACAGAATGGCCCTGTGAGCGCAGGCTAGGCAGTCAGGGGATTCCAGCCCAGCCCTGTCCAGCTGGGGCAGCTGGAAGTCGCCACACGGCCTGGGCCCAGGTATGGCCTGTCTCCCGGTCCAGGTTGGGTTGTCTGGGCCTCAGGGCGTGGGAACGAGTAGGCCTCCGGGAGTGAGGGCCGGGCCTGAGGAACTGGGCCATGGCAGGGAGTGGGGGGTGTCAACCAGCCCTCCCGGGCATTCTGGCTTCCGGAGCGGTTTTCTCAGCCAGCCCGGCACCCGGGCCAGGCCTCCGTGGTGTCCCAGGCAGAGCTGAGGTGGCGCTGGAGTCGGGGCTGGAGCGCTGTGTCTGGGGCTGCAGACCTTGGCCTGGGCTGGCCGGGCAGTGGGGACAGCGGGCTGGGGGCTGGTGTGTGGTTATAGTACCGTCTGCCTCAGTGGCCCTTTTCAGGTCTCTGTCCTGTGATGATGTTCAGCTTGGCCAGATGGCTCTGCTGCGAGCCCCTAGAGGACACGGCACTGGCCACCGTGACCATGCTTCCTAGACAGGCCACATCCAAACCCCAGAGGCTGCAGGGCCGACAGTGATGATGCCCATTCCTTTGTCAGTCCCATGGTGGGCCCGCCACCTGGGATCATGGTGACCTGAGTTAATACAAGGCTGTGAGAAGGGCTAGGGCAGACAGTGCCAGGCTCAGGGCTCCCAGCCCCCGGGGGGGGGGCTCTGAGCCGAAAGCCCCTCTGGCCCTTCCTGCTGCTCGGGGCTCCCACTGTCCCCTCCCTGGTTGCTAACCACAACACTCCGTGGGCAAGGACCTTGCCAAGAGGAAAGAAGTCTCCAGCCCAGTTCCCGGCCAGACTTGGCCACGCAGCTCCAGCCCTGGCCGGGGCCCAGGCCGCCTCTGCTCAGTCTCTGTCTGGGACTGGCTACTGGTCAGTGGGCGGGGGCTGGGAGGTGGCAGCCAGGTCTGCCCATGCCTCTGCTGGCTGGGCACGGGGCCATGGCCGAAGTCCTTGGAGGTGGAAGTGACACGGGAGCATGGATGCTCTGTCTGAGGGTCAGGGGTCAGATGGGATGGGGGAGGCTCTGGGTGCCAGCCATCCCCTCCCCGACACCCACCATGGCAGTGCCCACCTGGCAAAGCCTGCAGGACCTGCGGCAGCTTGCAGACTTCTAGCGCAGGATGGCGGGAGGAGACTGACCCTTTTGGAACAAGGCTCATGGAACCCACCAACTGAGCAGGGTCCTGGCTGGGGGGCCCGTCAGGGGAGTTGGCTTTGCAGCTGCCCAGCGCCCATCCCCCAGGGCTGGCCTGCCGGTCAGGGGGTATGAGAGCCCGTGGTAGGACCTGCTGCTATAGGCTGGGGCCTTAGGAGAGGACACCTGGGAATCCGCAGGTGGCCCACAGGGCGAGTGCCCGGAAAGTGGTCCCTGGAATGTGTGTGGCTGTGCCCCAGAGCAGTGGGGTCCCTGTGACCTCTTTCCTTCCTTGTTGTATCTGTCATTTGAATGTCTTACAGTGAAGATATAAAGACATAACAGTCATGTGATAAAGCTCTTCTGTTTTCAACGTGAAAGGAATAAGGAGGGAAAAGACACCCCCGCCCCCGAGATAAATGGTCCAGCCTGAGGCCAGACACTGGGGCCACAAACCGCCCACGAGGCTGGGGAAGATGGAGCAGCAGGGGCATCCCCAAAAGGCTTGGAGCAAAGGAGCACCCTGGGGAGCCCCGGACCGAGGTCAAAGGGCAAGACTGGAGTGCCGTCCCAGCCACTCACTTCCCACACTCAGGAGCAGGGGTTCCTTCCTTATAGACTCAGGAAAGGCTCCAAGAGGGTCCCCCAAGTTGGGAGACTGGCTGGCTTGGCGCAAGGTGGGCACACAGCAGGAAGCTCAGCCTGTCGGTGTGTCCCCTGCCCTGTGGAGCTGGGACCGGGGCTGCTGAGCTGCAGTGCCGCTCCCCTCCAAAACTTCCACGCAGTGGGACACCCCCTTCTGGGATAGTGTCAAAACAGGCACCCTTAAGAGTGCCCAGCCAGGGCCAGGACCAGTCTTCTGGGGGAGGGGGACAGGAAGTCCCACGTTTCCCTCACCCCCACCCCAGTTCCAGCTTAGAAGACAACCCCCTCTGGGCCTCAGCGATGCTCCCCACCTGCCCCTGGTGGGTGGTCCCTGGGGGTGTGGGTAGTGGGTCTACAAAAGTGGCCTGCTGCCCATGCAGGATGCTGGGGTGCGGGAGACCCTGTGAAGGGGGCCACCTCTGAGCCTCAGTTTCCCTGCATCCGGACCGAAGGGGCCCTATGGGATGCCAGGCCACTCCTCCCGCCCAGCCTCAGGCCCGCCCACCACCCCCGCCCGCCGGGCTGTGGGAGAACTCAAGGTTCTCAGGCCGAGCTCCCAGAGAAATCCTTTATCCAGACCAACTTCTGGACTTGGTTGCTTCCCACTGTCCCCAGGAAGAGCAGGGCGGAGGGACTTCCCTGGGAGGGTGCGGGGGTGGGAAGGCCTGGGGGACATGGGGTGGGCCTGGGTGAGGCAGGAAGAGGCCTCACTCATCCCACAAGCATGGCCCCCCCCAGGGTCCCTGGAGCCCAGCAGGAACCGCCCTCCATCTCCTGCCTGCTCTGCCCGCCCGCCCGGGAGGCCAGTACTTCCCTTCCCAGCCCAGAGTCTCCTCCCCTGGCTGGACGTGCCTGTGGTCTGGCCGGGGCCCATGGCAGTCCCAGCCCTGCGGTCTGGGAAGTCCCTGGCTCTTGGACACCTTAGCCCCCTACCCCTGGGTCCTCTGGTCCTTTCAGGGTCTTCCTTTGGCCTGATACCCACCTCAGAGGTCAGCTCACACCCTAGCATCCGGCCAGCACTCACAGACCCTTCGGCTGAGGCCGGTTCCTGGGGAAGGCCTTTCTCATCCACGAGTCTCATCCTCAAATGGGAGTGAAGGGAAGTGAAGCGGAGCTGCCAGGGTCCCGGTGGGGCAGCCCCTCCCTCTCCCCTGCTCCAGGGCCTTGCCGCCTCTCTGCTGAGTCACCTCATGTCTGGGAAGCTCCCAGGGCCAAGCCAGGCTGGATGAGGCATCACAAATTTGCAAATTCCCCCTGCCTCCTGGGTAGGGAAACAGCTGCCCTGACTCACCTTGGGCCGGGCCTGCAGCCTCCTGGAGCCCCCAGAACCCTTGCAAACCCTTCCAGTCTGCTGCATTCAGCCTAATGGGATGGTGAGCCCCCAGAACCTTGTTCTGCATCCCCTGGGATGGTCCCAAGCCAGGCTCACTGCCCATGGAATGGAGGTGACAAGGTGCCAGGGGGCCCTGCTGGGGTAGGGGCTGAACTGTGCAGCCCAGACCACCCACCTGGCACTGGGGGCTGCACTGCGCAGAGTGCACTGTGGACATCATTCCTAGGCAATCCACTGGTTGCCATGGTAACCTGGAGAGACCCAATCAGCCTGGCCATGGCCACTGGACAGGGCAAAGGGGGGGACACAGTGTCAGGGTGCAGGTAGGCAGGCCATGGAGGCTAGCTGCTGGGCGAAATGCCGAATATCCTGAAACATAAGTGGCTGACTGCGTCTCAGTGCTACCGGTGAGGGCCTGACCCTGAGAAACCCTGGGGACATTAAAGCAGATCCTGGCGTGTCCATTCTCCGGCTCCTCCTGTGGTTCTCTCTTGCTCTGCCTCAGTTTCTTCTCTTGCTCACCTGATAGAGAGCACACCAGTGTGATGAGGTGGTCAACGACCTGGGGAGAAGTTTGAAGACCCCGCCGGGGGTGAAAGGCCAGAAGCCTAGTGCCACCTGGGCGGGGGGGCAGACAGAGACTGCTGAGACCTGCCGACCCTAGACCTTTTCGGGAGGTGCACCCTGGCAGGTCTGCCGGCAACTAAGAGGCCTGGGGGAGTCAGCTTCCAAAGTGAAGGCCTGCCCATAGGGTCGACATTTCCCTCAAACCCTGGGTCCCTGACATTTATTCCCACAGTACCTGGCACCTGGTTGCCGGGGGTGGCGGGCGGGGTGAAGGAGGACAACTCAGCAGAAGTGCCAATCTTCAGGGTTTTGCAAGAACAGGTGTCAGGGCCTCCAGGGCTGGAGCGGGCAACTTCTCCCATCTTGGCTTCTTTGCTATTTGAAGACAAAAGCCCGGGAAACTTGGGGCCTGAGAGTCAGCCCTGGGGAAGGGCTCCTTAGTGCTGGCCCCTGCCCAGACTTATTCTCGTCCACTGTGTCCACAGCCAGCAGCCGCCTGATGGGAAACTCTCCGGCCTCCTCTTTCATGGGCAGTTTCCTCACCAGCAGCCTGGGCTCGGCAGCCTCTGCGCACCCCAGTGGCCCCACCCCGTCCCCCTCGGATCAGGCCTACCGGGGCTCACACCCCGCCACCTCCCAGATCTGGTTCTCCCACTCCCATGAAGGTAAGTCGGGGCCCAGGCTCCCAGCCGTGCCCTGTATCTAGAGCCACTGATTGTGGTGCCCAGGGCCTGTGGTGAAGCAAAGGGCTCTCCTGCTGTGGCTGGCAAACCATGCCAAGCACCGGGGCAAGGGGCTGCCTCCCTGTCGAGGATGCCCCCATAGGGGAGGTGGTAACTGGTTGGAAACAGAGTGGGGGCGGGCAGCCCCGCCAGTCAGTGGTCCTGGCCAGATGTGCAGCAGACGGGCAGAGAGGGAAAAAGCGGTGGGGCCGGGAAGGCTCGGGGGACCTGAGAAAATGTGGAACACAGCTGGGCTGGCCAGGCAGGCCTGCGCCCACCTCCCAGACTCGGAGAGGCATGGGCTCCAGATGTGTCAGCTGGGAGGGAGGGGAGGGGAGGAGAGAGCTGTCAACAGACTCAGGCTGCCACCCTGGGGGCCTGGCCTAGAACAGAGTCCCTCCCTGGCCCCTGCCTTCCCCTCGGTTGCAGCCTTGTACACACAGTAGGTGCCTCATATGTGTCACTCTCAGGCCTTATGGCTGGCTGGAGGGCCCCTGCAGGCCCTATTAGGATATTGAGGTTCCCCTTGGCACTCTCAGGGAAGGTCACCACCCCCACCCAGCTCCGCACTGTCTGCTCAGCCCCTGGGCACCGTGATGTGGGCAGTGACCCTAGCCCCAGTGTCCCCAGCCCGAGGTTGCTGGTATCCAGTCGGCCGCCATGGCGTGGGAAGGGTTAAGCCCGACAGCGGCTGGCACGCGGAGAGGTAATTGCAGTTGGCAGCGGGCACAGAGGGCTCTGCGCTCCTGGCACCAGCACCGCCGTAACTCAATGACTGCTGAGCGGCGGGCGTTGTGTTTGCAGAGCACGCGGACCCACACACCGCGCCCGCTGCCGCCCGCGTTCCAGGCGGGGAGATTAGCGCCCAGCGCTGCTGGAGAGCGAGAGAAACCTCTCTTTGTGCAACAAGAAAGGGGCTGTTTTCCAAACAGGACAGGTGATGAGTGAGGGACAGTTGTTAAAATAATCTGGGCTTTAAGCGCTGTACGGAACGCACATGTTGGGTAGGCGATAAGGAGCAGCTCCCTTCCCCGGTGGAAGGGCGGCCAGGCCAGCCCTGAGGACCCAGGTGGGCAGAGCAGACACCTGGCCCAGATCCCTCTGCCGCCTGCTTCCCACCCCTGCCTCTTCGCAGCCTCCCCAGGGCACACCTGGTGCAATGGTGTCAGGCCCCGGAGCGGGGCTTCCTGGGCCAGCCATGCTGGGCACCCCTTGCTCCCCTGCTCCTCCCAGCTCTTCTGCATCTGCTGGGCGAACTCCTGGACCTGGCGGGAGCGTCTGGCTCCCAAAACATCTGTTGGGGGAAGGAGAGGGCCGAGTGCCATGGGGCGGGCAGGGCATACTCGCAGCAGCCGTGTAGGGCCACTTCCACCAAACCCATGGCCGCTGCCCTGCCCTGACCTGGCCACGGGGGCGTGGGCACGGCCAGGCTGACTGCCACGGTGATCCCTGGTCAGGGTCAGGATGGCAGAGCTCTGCGTCAGAAGGTACATATCCCCCTGCTCCTCCGGCCCACCCCTGAGGACCTTGCGGGCAAGAAGGGCGGTTTGTGGGCAGTGCCACCTGCCCTGGGGCCCAGGGAGAAGGCGCCCTGTCCTGCCCCTCTGGGGGCTGCCTGGGAGGCGGGGGTGGGCGGGTGAGAGGCAGCCCGCAGATAGCGCCCTCAACGGCCTCCAGACACTCACTTCCCCCGGCCAACGGCTGCCTCCGCGGAGTTGCTCGTGGCCTGCGGGGCACCCCACCACCCGCAGCCACAGCCCCAGAGCCACCTGGCAAGTTGCAGTTCCCATAACCTAGTGTGGGGGAGCAGTGTGTGGGAGGGTGCCAGCCCCCCAACCCACCCCTTACCCACCGTGCACGCCAGGAAGGCAGCTGCTCCAAGGCAAGGACAGTTGGAGCAGCCCCGAACCAGCCCTGGCGCCTCCTTGGGCTGGGTGCACCCACGGCCTCATGGGGGAGGGTGTGCATGTTGAGGCGGTGGGCTCCGCGGGCAAATGCAGTAGGGGGCAGGACAAGGGGAAGCGAGGAAGCCTCTGAGCCACCCACGTGGAACACAGGCTCCAGAACAGAGTGGAGGGGAGAGCAGGGCCCACCCGGGGCCAAAGATGAGTTTAGGGGCGTAGCGGCCCCTGGGGAGAGCACCCCAACCTGCCAGGTCCCTCCTGAGGGTAGCTCGTGTGTCTGTCCTGGGGACGCTACCATCTCCCAGGCCTGAGTCCCAGTCTCCCCTTCTCTGCCTGCAGTTGCGCTGCCTGGCCTGGGACCCCCTTCCTACGGGGTTCCCCTGCCCTCCTCTCTCTGCAGCCTCGCTCTGACAGGCCACGTGGTGCGGCTGCCTCGCTGTGAGCTCCCAGCGTAAAGGCCGGTGGGCGGGCGGGGCCGGGGCGAGTGGCAGCGCTGGCTGGCTGGCTGCCCTGGCAGCGTGCCTGGCTGCTAGTTTGACTGGGTGCCAGCTGGCTGCCCGCGTGCCGGGGCCTGTTTCTCTGCCGTGTGTGTTCAGGGGGAAGGGGGGCTGAGGTGGGGCGGGGGGCACGCGACATGGCCGGAGAGTGGGGGCTGGCCGGCAGGGTGGGCTGCCTGGGCGGGCTGCTCCACAGTGTGGCCTCACCCTCGTCCTCTCGCCATCCCCAGGATGGGCAGAGAGACAGGTGTCGGGCAAAGCCGGCTTGCTACCCTCCTCCAGCCTGGGGATAGTCAGGGCTGGGCCCCGAAAGGAGTTCTTAGCTTAAGAGCAAGGATGCCAGGATGGTGGGGGGGTAGGGGAGGGATGTCAGTGGGGACCAGGAGAGCGGATGGGCCCTTCCACTCCAGGCAGGGCCCCCGGCTCTCCGTGGGTGGACCCAACCCACCATCTGGGGGACAGCCACCAGAGCCGAGGCCAGGGCTTCCTGCTTCCCTGGTGGAGCAGCTGGGGTGCAGGGCTAATACCCCAGAACGGAGGAGCCGCCCCAGAACATCTGGCCTGGGGCAGAGCTTGTCTGTCCAGGGCCTCTCACCCTACCCCACCCCCCAGACCCCCCACCCCAGGCTCAACCAAGTGAAGGGTCCCGCCAGAGACGAGACTTTCCCTTCCGGGGCCTAGGGTCAGGGTGGGCGGCGGAACTGACCTGAGGCAAAGGGGTGAGCCAGTGTTCAGCAGGCCTGCCCTGGGTGGGTCCCGGTGGGGGTGGGGTGCAGCACAGCTGGCCCTATTGTCAGCAGGCTGGCCCCCTCCCGCCCTCCTCCACCCCCTGGCTGCCTGGTGGGACCACCCACAGGGCCATGAAAGGGGATTCTGTTCCTGGGGGCTAAGCTGGGGAGGAACGGGGCTGCCGGGTTCCCACAGCCTGGGCCACTCCTGGTCTCTTGTGCCACCTGGAGGGGGAGCCTCCGGAGACAGCGGGCACATGCGCCAGTGCTGGCCGTGAGCCTGGCCAGCCTCTTGGTCAGTTGCACCCGCCCTGGAGGCTCTTTCTCCTGCCGGGGCTGGGCTCACCTCCAGTGGGTCAGGGGTCTCACCCAAGAGCCACTAGGCGCTCCCTGCTGTTTCCCAACCCCCCTCCTGGCTTCCCTGAGCCCCTCAGCTGTCCTTCTGTCCCCTCTGTCCCCTCTAAGACTTCAGGATTCACCAGGGCTTCTGGGAGCACATCTGTGTGGAGGCCAAAGGTCCCAGCCGGTGTCACCGTCTCAGTGTGGTGACGTGTCGAGAGGAGCCCTCTGCTTGCCTGTCTCTGAGGCAAATCCCTGCCCCGGACCTTGTCCTTCTCCCCTGGACGCTGGCCGCTCCAGCCCCTTCTCTTGGCCTCAGTTTTCTCGGTGGCCAAAATGGCCTCTGAGTCTGCCCGCACAGGACACCGATGTTCACCTCCCCTCCCCGCCCAGTGCAATAAAGATGCCCCCACATGTAGGCAGCATTCCTCACCCTGCCCACCTGTTCCTGCTGGTGCCGGAGGGCAGGGCTGGGTCAGTAGGGGCAGCTGACCACCCTGTGATCTGGGGATAGTGTAGGGGAAGGGACCGGACTCCCCAGATCCAGACATGGGGGATCACGGCTGCCCTGTCAGACAGGTCCTCTCCCGCCAGCTTCATCGTAGCCAGAAGGAGCCCTGTCCCATCTGGACCTCTGACCTCCTCCAGAGCTTTCTTGGAGCTTTGCGTGGCCAGGACACCCCGTGGCTCCCTGTGACCTTGGCCCTTCACTGCACTTTGCCTCCGCCCACCTTCCCATCAGGGTCCCAACCTCCAGGGACCCCTCTGTCCTTGCATGTCCCCTGTAGCAACTGTCCACTGCTGTGCTGGGGGTCTGAGGACCTTCTTGGGCTGCTGTTTGCACCCGGGCATGTGTGTGAGCTATACTGGGTCTGACAGGGTTGGGAGAGGCCCAGTGTCACATCTGGGTGTGGGGCTGGCTTGCACTGTTCCTGTGGCCCCAAGACCCCCAAGCACTATGCTCTATGTGTATCTTAGATACCCCGGGGTGGGGTGGGGGGGGTCTTGGAGCATCCACCCAGGAAGACAGGGTATAGTAGGTATGGTCAGGGGTAGCGTAGTGCTCTCTCCAGCTGAGCTTCCTGACAGACAGAGGTGATGGGTGGGATGTTGTGAGTGTTTGGGGGGTCATGCCAGTTTGTTCCCAGCTCCAAGCTCTGAGACTCTGTCTCTCCCCCAGTTTTAGTCCTGCAGCAAGACCTGGTCCCCAGCCCTCCCTGGCCCACAGGTCCTGCTCCCCCGGAGTGGCTGCTGCCAAGGTCTGCATCTCAGCTCTGTACGGCCTGAACCCAGCTCCTCCCTGCACAGCACTTGCTAGGAGCCCGGGACTGTCCATGACCACCTGGCTCCTGGGCTAGCTGCCTGCTGCTTTTGTTCCAGAGGTGTCCGTGGGAGCCTGGCACCTTCCCCTGGCTCTGAGCCACTCCTCTCAGCCTGGGAACAGACCAGGCAGCCGGGCCCCAAACCTGGGGCGACTAGGGGTCAGTGTGCGTGCCTGGGCCAACTTTAACGGGCCACAGTGGCACAGAAATCATCTTGTGCCAGCCTTAGGCCCCAGCCCCAGCCCTCAGCTGCAAGAGGCTGAGATCTGGGCACTCCCTGAGAGGCCCAGCTTCCAAAGCCGCCTTCAGCCCATTAAGGGGTCTCACTCAGCTGCTCCCAACAATGTCCAGGGTGGTCGATCTTGGGAGCTGCACTGTGATGCCCAGCCTGGATTCCCAAGGGTTCTGACCGCTGAGTATGAGCCTGAAGGGGCTTATGGACGGAAACTGGAGTATTTGGCAAGGAACAGGGAGGACATGGGAAGGAGGCTGTTGCAAAGTTACCTCCTTCAGATACTAGAGCAAGGGTGGTGGCAGATGTCCTCCCCATGTGCTGCCAATGACCTTCCTGTGCCCAGGGCAGGCATTACTAGTCGATTGCAACACTTTCCAAGCTGCATGTGGACACAGCCTCAGAATCCTTCTTAACCCAGCTTTCAGTGTGGTCACTACTGTTTCGTAGTCTTGTGTACCACAGTAGAAATCCACTGACACCCTGAGTGAAAAGGATGTCACAGGAAGAGAGCCAGCACCCAGTTAGTGTCGGTGTGGCAGAATTCAGAGGGATAGATGTGTGTGGGGCTCCAGGAACAAGGGCTCTTTGCTAGGTGAACGTGGGGATTATCATGGGTAGAGTAAAGTTGGGACCTGTCAGGGTTGGCAGGACACCGGTTGAGGGTGGAGTGGTCTGGTGGGGTTCTATCCAGAGGGTCTTTTCCCCTCTGCTGAGCCCTGGAGGGTGGGCTTGACCCATGAGATGGGCAGTTGAGATGGTTCGACTCGGGTTTTCTGGAGCACCAGCCCGCCCTGCCCCCACAGTGTGGCCAGCTGTATAAAAGCGTGATTCTCGGCCCCATAGATTGGGGGCTCAGCCAGTCACGCTGTGGGGAGCTGCCTTTGGGACTTGATGTCAGACCCTGCTGGCAGCCCCTGGCCACAGCTCAGGGCTCAGTGGTGGGGAGAACTTTCTAGTAACTCAAGCCTCCAGGGAGGTGGCCATGTTTTTGTCAAGGCATCATGGAGGGCGGGGGGCATCTATTGTGGAAGGCCTTGCCCGCATGGGTGTGCAGGGAGCCAGCGGGGAGCTGGGGCAGGACCCTGGTGGCATGATGGTGATTAGAGCCCTGTGTGTCAGGCCGCTGGCAGTTTGCTAAGCCTGCAGGGTCTGCACTGAGCTCTGTGGGCCTGGGAGTGGGGGTCTCATGGACCCTGCGGTGGGAGTCCCCTGACCTACCCCACAAGGGACTCTGGTCTGCTGCTTGGCTGGTCACAAGCCACACCCCACCCCATGCCCAGACCTGGCCAGGAGACAGTCAGCCTTCTGAGACACAACAGTCGGTCTTCTCCTAGGAGGGTGGACCCTGCAAGGGCCGCAGGGGGGTGTTGTCACCTCCCCAGCCTTTGGGTCTGGCCTGGGGCAGGTGGGGCACCTCAGGCTGCTGGGAAAGTTCTACAGCAAAACCCAGGAGAGGTGAGGTGCCATCAGGTGGGGTGGGGACTGACCCCGTCAGGCAAGGAGGGTGCATGTAGGGGGCCAGGGCCACCCCTCTTTGCTCTCCAGCTGAGAGACTTGCAGCAGGCCTGGGGTCCTCCCAGGTACCTTCTCTGGTGGGGTGACAAGAGGCGCCTCCTACCCCATGGCACCTATTTCCCCTGTAAAGTGTCCCCACCCTTCCATCTTCAGACCTTGCCCTCTGAGCAGCCCCCACCAGGGGTGGGCTGCCTGCTGGCTCCTCTCCTTAGCCCACTTAGCACACTCCCCACCAACACCTCTGACCTTCCCAGATGTGGCCAGCAAGGGCCCCGGGGGATGCTGGCAGGGGCTGGGTGTCCTAGGAGACCAAGGATCTGGTCTGTGCTGCCCCTGCCCAGCTCTAGACTGCCTCCACATCATTGAACCCATTAGGTGCTGATGGTGTCACCTTTTTGTCCCCTGTTAATGCTCACATTACGGGTGGGGTTGTCTCCTGGCAGCTCAGAGCATGGGACCAGAATGGGGGTAATCTCAGTGGGCTGTTCGCCGAGGCCCAGGGCTTCTCCCTAGAACTCAGCAGGGGCTTTCAGGGCTCCGAGGGCAGCGGGGGCCCAAGGACACAGCGTGGGCTCACCTGTCAACTGGGGCGATCGCAGTAGCCAACCTTGGGGGGGTGTGAGAGCCTGGGAACAAGGGGATTCTGGACCACGCCACCCCGAAGGAGTGCAGGGTTGAGGGGCTCTGGCCCTGGGTTCCAGGGTATCCGACCCCCATCCTCTGCTCCCTGAGACCTCTTCAGAGCCCACCACCACCACATTCTCCTCTGCAGAAGCCCCTTTGAGGACCTGAGGCATTTCCCAGGCCAGCTACAGCAGCCCTGGCTTCTGGTCACAGAACAGCTGCTCTGATTCATAAAAAATCATTTTTTATTTTCTTCAATTCAGAGAGTAGGGTCTTGTTGGGAAGAAGAAAGGGTCCTTTCTGTGGCTGAACTGGGAGGGCTTCTCTCCTTCCTCCCTCTGCCCCCCACCCCAGATGCCCACCCGCTCTTCACACTCCCCCTCCCTGGCCACCCCACTCAGCTCCAGCCCTTGCCCACTCTGTTTCTTCTTCCATCTCCCCATCCTTACTCCCCCAGTCCTAACTCCCCTTCTGGAGTCCCAGAGGGTGGGACTTTATGCAGACTGGAGATGGGGGGAGGAGCCCCCGTAGATTCCTGTCCCCTGATCCCTGGCCAGCAGTTCAGGGTCAGAAGTGGAGGGACAGGCATGGCCATCACCCTCCCACTGCTCCCCGAAGGGTGCGGCAGGAAGGAGCCCACCACTCGGCCAGCTGAAGGCCGGCTCCCCCGAGGGTGGGTGGGCGGGAGGCCCAGACCTCCCGAGGGGTCACAGGGGTGTCTGTGCCTGGGTAACGGGTGTCTGGGAAGGAGGAATTTACAGACTTCTGTTTACCAAAACGAGGCCCCGTAAAACATTTAACAGCAGCCAATTAAAGGGGGACAGCTGTGGCACTTTAACCGCTCCCCCCAGTACACACACAGGCCTCTGCCCACCCCTCCTGGCCTGCCCCCACCCCCGATGGCCTCGGCCAGCTTTTGTCAGGTCTTCCAGGAGCTGCATTTCATCTCGGAAACATCTGCTCCAGATGTGTCTCCACTCACAAACCAGGCGAGACGGCCAGGCTCCCCAGACTCAGCCGTGCCCTCGGCATTAGGGGGCTGCAGAGGGATAGGACTGGGGGGCAGTGGGCATCTCCCCTGTATCCTCCCACGGGCCTGGGGATGTGAGCCCCTCGGTGGGGAGATGCCCAAGGGACTTCTCAGAGCTTTTGCAACACACTTGCTTGAAGGGAACCTCCAAACAGGGCTGGTAGGGGAACGTTCTGCGGGGAGCACCTCTTGAGGATGGGTGCCACGGCTTGACCTCAGACCTCGGCTTGACCTCAGACCTCCTGATCCAGAGACCATCCTCCTGCATCATTAGGGGCAGGATGGTGGATATGTCGAGGGGGCCACCAGGATCAGGGTGCAGAGTGCACCCTTTGGGCTGGGGGCCTTGACCCTGGGGGATCCCAGAGTGTTTGATGCCTGTGTGGTTCCCATTCTCTCACAGCTCCTCGTCCATCCCTACCTCTTAGCTGGGTTCCTCAGCCCCACCCACACTGGCACGGCTCACCACCCCAGCCTCAGGCTTGCCAGGGGGCTGCTCCTGGGCCCCTCATACTCACAGCAAGCTCCAGGGCTCACCCCTATGCACCCACAGAGATTGAGCTGGCCTCCACCCTCTATCTCAACAGCCTCAGCATCCAGGCAGGCCAGCCTCAGGGCCTCTGAGGACCTGGGGCCTGGAGGCCTGTCCTGCAGCTCTGAGCCTCTCCTTCTAGAAAGGTATTGGTCTTGTGTGTTCCATGGAACCTCCGGCCGTGAGTTGCCACAAGGAGTTCCAGTGAAACAGCAAAGGGCTTCTGTCCTAAGAGGAATTTAGAAAACAGTAAATGAGCAGGTCACACGGAGCTAGCTCCCTGCTTCAGACTTGTCTGTAACTTTGTCGTGATGCACTAAGAGGGATGTTGGTACCCCTGCTCCCCAGGCATGGGGCTCACGGCCCCCTTGTATCAAGGCACAGCTATGACCCGGCTTGAACACTCACCCTGGGACCCACCACCCTCCCGCGGGGCCCGCAGCCTCCGGAGCCTGCGCCAGCCCCTCCTCCCTGTGGCCCCTGCTCCCCGGGGAGACCCTGGGATTCCTTCCTGCTCCCTTGTCACAGCCCAGGCGCCTCAGAAGTCAGGTGGGAAGCCGCCCCCAGCAACCCGTCAGTCTTGGGACAGCTGTGGGGTCCCCAAGAGCAGCTCCTCTGGGACTCATTTTCCATGGGGAAAATGTTAAGAGCATTAACTCAAAGCAGGAATTTTGGAGCAAGACAGCATCCTGTCCACCCCAGCCCAGCCAGCTCAGCCATCCCAGCCGCAGGCCTCCGCCCGCCCCCACCCCCTCACCGCTGGGCCTGGTGGAGAAGGACCAGCTGTGAGGAGCCACATTGCAGGTGGCTCTGGGCATCCAACAGACACGCCTCCATGGCTGTGCCTGGTCTCAAGGTGCCAGTGCCTAAGGGGCCTCCTTGGCCAAATGTTCGCTCTTTCTGTCTTCATCACTTCTGGGAGGCAGGGTGTGTGTCCCAGGTGGCCAGAACGAAGTCCAGGGTGTAGTTGGTGGTCCTCTGCTGGGCAGGGCCAGGCCAAGAAGACAGTCCAGGCTCCTTAAAGGGACAGAGAGGGGCCTGCTTGACATGACTCAGAGGCTCCAGGGAGGGTTTCAGGCCGGGGACCAACGCAGGAAGCTCTTCTGGGGGGCGATGCCACCGTGGCTGGGGACCAGCTCATTGTGCCGATCTCAGAGCACTGAGGAAGCCCGGCCAGTGGACAGCCCGGTGCCCATGGTCTCCAGCCAGGCAGAAGCTGGCCACACCCAACCAAGTCAGCCCCAGGGCGTGGGCTACTGAGCCCAGAGTGGCTTGCTCACCTGGCAGCTACAGATGGTACAGGCCAACGTGGTGTCCGGCCTTGCCTCTCTCCTCTCGGCCTGAGCTGCGAGGGCCTCCATGTCCACTGCGTGTGACCGCCACATCTCCCTCCTCCCCAGACACCTCTCCAGAGCCCCTTTTGTTGGCCTGCCTCGAAGCTCCCGCACTGCTAAGTGCTGCTGGGAGAGAAATCAAAGGCTCCCTCCTCCATCCTCCCCTCTCTCCCCAGCCCATCAGCAATTCAATTTGTGCCACACCGGAGGGATGGTATTAGTCGAGTCAGAGTTAATATGATGTATTGATGGGTTGATTTCCCACCGGCGGGCTGCACGCGGGCTCTGCGGGGCGTAACTCCTGGGCCACCCGCCGGCTTCTCACCTCCCTGGGGTCAGGGCGGGTGCAAGCCTGTGGCCCAGAGGCGCCTCTATTGCAGTCTCCTTGCTTCTCTAGCTCCAGGATACCCCAGATTTTCGGGGAGTCTGGCATCCACCTTCCTACCCATGAGCCACTTGGATCACCATGGAAACAGCAATGTTCTCTATGGGCAACATCGTTTCTATGGAACCCAAAAAGGCAAGTGCTGGCGTGGGTCTGTGAGGGATTGCATGGGGCCTGGGACACAGTGCATCCTGGAGGGGTGGAGGGCAGGGCTGAGGGCTTCTGGGGTGCCAGGTGAAGGTGGCCAGCCTGGATGAACTGTTCTCTCCAGGCCACACTGTAGGTACAGGGGCCGGAGGAGGATGGGCCTGCTTCTCAGGCCCCCAGAAAATTTATGAAGTGCGGGGCCCAGGACCACGGCCAAGCAGCTGGTTGCATGCCGGGGTCAGGCAAGCATGCTAAAAACACAGCCATGCTCCGTGAGCTCTCATCACCCAGGTGGAATCATCTCAAACAAGCGTGGCCCTGAAGGAGTGGCACCCAGCTCCCTCAGCACCTGGCCTTACCCTGTGGCACCCCCCCGCACCGACCCACTCAAGCAGCTCAGGGTTCCCAGGGGCAGCTCAGGGGAGAATACCACCTGGTGGGGGTAGGGGAGCCCCCTAGAAGTCTGTACCTCTTGCCTCATTGAGCTAGACAGCAGAAGGCCCAGCCCCCAACCCACACCAGGGCTTAAGGTCAGAGGGGTCAGGGGTGGGGGGTAGGGGGTGGAGGCAGCAGCAGGGGACAGGGGCAATGGTGTGCCCCCAGCAGAGAGAGGAAGGACTCCTACCCCAGGGCAGGAGATGTCGCTGGAGAGGGTACGCTGAGGTTGGAGCTTTGCTGATGGAAACATAGGGCTGGTGGAGTTGGGAGGGCATTCTGTAAGAAGGGTGTGCTTACACCACGTGCACACGCACACATGTGTGTATAAAGGCCCAGCCTTCAGTGAGCCCATGAGAGATGTAGCCACCTAGAGATGAGACAGGTGTAGGGGGAGGCCTGAGACCTTGGTGCCCCGTGTCCAGGATTTTTCTTGGGTGGGGTGACACTTCATCTGCGTTTTAGAAAGATCTTCCAGGGGTGGTGCCCAGGAGGCTGGGGTTAGTTACTGTGTTTAGATGACAAGTGATCTGGACTTGAACGGGACCATGGGATCCCATGGGGGGCCTGGATGGGGCACGAGGGCCAGGGGGCCCCAGATGACCCCCATTTATAGCCCAGGCTGCAGGAAGGGGTGTACCTGCAGAGGAGCAGTTCAGAGGAGAGGAATGAGTTCAGCTTTCATGCTGAGGGGCTGGGAGGCGGAGGCCACCTTCCCAGGGGGTGACTGCACACTCATGGTGGGGGTCAGTGCCAGAAGGGCAGGTTGAGAGGTTGATCCGGCTCAAGGAGAGGGGCCACCCAGGTGAGGAGGATAAATAAGGACAGATCCAGCTCCAGGGAGCCCCAAAATCGGGGCTCTGAGTGGGGGCAGGGGGAGCCCCAAAATCAGGGCTCTGAGTGGGGGCAGGGGAGGGACCCACACAGTAGCCGGCAGGCTTCAAGCGGCAGCAGCTAAGGAGGAGAGAATCCTGAAGGTCTCAGCGGAGGAAGGGGACCCCAGAGCGGTGACCACATGAGGCAGGTTGGGGGTGGGCCTGTGGCCAGTCCTCTTGCCCTCCCACCACCATCCCCCCGTTTCCTCACAGCCTCCCACTCTGTGACCTTGGGGTGTCTGTGTCCTGGAGCCCACCTGGCATCTTCGTCCAGGCTGGATGGCTGAGGCTGTGGAAGGCCTCACTCTCACTTGGCCCAGCCCAGGGCTGGTCAAGCTTGGGTGGGGGCGGATGACACCCTGCCTGCAGAGGGGCCAGGAGTGCTCCCCGGACCCATGAAGGGTTCGGACAGACACTGGATGCCCAGGGAGCCAGCCTCCTCGGGGTTGGAGCCCAGGTGCTCTGCTGCCCAGAGGAGAGCCCCGCGTGGGCCGCGGCCTGAGTCCCTCCACCTCCCACATCAGCCCCCGCGTGTGCTGCTGTTTTGACAGCACTTGTCAAGAGCAGGAAGGTGGTCCCAGCCCCAGAAATCCGACCCAGAGCTAGGGACCCCCTCCAGGGTGTGGGCCGCTGGCTTCCAGGAGCGCTGGCGGCCTCCTCAGCTTCCACAGTGTTGTGGCGGAGCCCCACCCGAGAACACTTTGGTTTTGGAAATTGAGCTAATTAGGTTTAGCCCAGGCTACCCTCTTCCCCTTTGCTTTAATTAGCAGGAAATTGACAAGGAATTTACAGGACTGAGGACAGTTTTACAAGTTCCAAATGTTTCTTTTGTTCCCTCTCTAGGCTCCAGGCCATCCAGGCTGCCCATCTGCCACCCCAGCTGGGTGTAGAGGGGGGCGGCCCCTCTAGGTCCCCAGTAACCCAGCCCCAGCTTAGGGGGCAGTGGGTGTCCGTAGGGCTGGCCAGGGACCCAGGTAGAGAGCAAGGCACCCCAGGTTAGGGGGGACCCAGGCTGACCCCATGCAGGGAGCTGGGGGTACGCCCCCCAGCCACTCAAGCAGGGTGGGCCAGAGCTGCAGAGACATCGAGAGCCCAGTGTGGACTAGATAGGGATGGGCATCTGGACCGTTCTCCTTTCTTCCTTCCTTAAAGGATCACCCTAGCCCCTGATGCAGAAGGGCTGGGAGCCTCTCAGAGCTTTCAGGAGGTAGGTGGGCTGGGTCCTTCACTCCTGGCCCATTCTCAGACGCATGTCTGGCCGGGGCCTCACTTCCTCCCGGGCAGGGGTGTCTTGGCACTTACAGGGGCTACTGAAGGCCATCCATTTTGCTGTCGACAGTGCGCTGTCCCGCTTTCAGGGGCTGCCTCAGATAACGCTCCACGTGGCTGGGTGTCCTGAGCTCTGTAGTGGCCACATCACAGCACAGCTATCCACTCTGAGCCATCCCCCAACTATAAGCCCCTAGAGAAAGAAATGGCAACCCACTCCAGTATTCTTGTCTGGGGACATCCGACGGACAGAGGAGCCTGGTGGGCTACAGTCCATGGGGTCGCAAAGAGTCGGACACAACTGAGCGACAAAGCATACAACTTTAAGCCCACAACCTCCTTAGCCTTTAGGGTTCTGATGGCTGTTTGTAAAGAACTGATCAGTTTGCACTCCTCCAGCTCGTGTGGGGTTGGGGGAGATGCCTGCGGCCCCAGACTTCACCCCCTGCGTCCGGTGAGGACACACTGCCTCCTGCTCCCACCCTCCCTCCACTGATCCGCAGAGTTATGGGAGCTGTGCTCTTTTCAGTGCTCATCTCTTAGGGGTGAACATAAGTCAGAACCTCTGGGACATGGGGAGTCGGTATTGAATGGGGACAGAGAGCTTCAGATTGGGACGATGAAAAATTCCAGAAATGGACAGGGATGAAGGTTGCACACCACGAACATAGTAGCCACTGAACGGCACACTTAAAAATGGTTAAAGAGGTGATGTTTATGTTAATATGTTTTCTGCAGTTATAAACCTTCCCTGAAAAGTACCAATGGGTCAGGGTCAGCCAGTGATGGTGGGGAGGCACCTGGAGCAGTGTCTTGGGGCCACTGAGCCCTCCAGCCCCTGCCTCGGGCTTCCTGTTGACCTCAGCTCTCTCGGCACGCAGATAACTTCTACCTGCGCAACCTGCCCCCCCAGCCCACGCTCCTGCCCGCCAACCACAACTTCCCCAGTGTGGCCCGGGCCGCCCCTGGCCACCCCATCGGCTCCTGCAGCCGCGACAGGAGTGAGGCCAGCCACCTGCAGAAGGGCACCAAGGAGTTCGACCGCTTCCTCATGGGCAAAGAGAAAACCGGCAAGGCAGCTGAGGGCAAGGAGCGGCCGGCGGCGGAAGAGGATGTCGGCCGGGGGCGGCACAAGCTGGTGCTGCCTGTGCCAGGGGACTCTCACTGCAAGGAGGGCAGCGTGGCCCGGGGAGCCTGTGAAGGCCGCCCCAAGCACCTGGCCTCCTGCCTTCTCAACACCAAGGTGCTCGACGGTGAGCTGGGCCGGTCCACACTGGCCAGCTGTGCGGGGGCCGTGCTAGGGCGGCCAGGTGTGGGCATGCCGGCCTCTGGACGCTGCACCAAGGAGGTGGCGGGCCCCACAGAGCCTGGGCCAGCCTTCAGCGAGTGCCTGGAGCGGAGGCAGATGCTGCACCATGCCGTGTCCTACACAGTGCCGTCCGGCCTGCCCGCGGGGCCGCCCCCTCCCCTCAGCACGGCTGCGGCCGGCCCCTTCCCCTGCCTGCAGCTGCATGGGGGCCCGGATGGGCTCTGCCCCTTGCAGGACAAAGTCCCCCGGGACCTGAAGGCCAGTGGGCCCACCTTCGTGCCTTCCGTGGGACACCTGGCCGACAAGAGCCGCCCCTTCCAGGCGGCTGAGGCCTGTGCCGTGGTGGGTGAGGGCAAGGATCGGCACCTGGAGGCGGCCGCCGCGCCTGACCATGCTGCGCCTTATGGGGTCTCCTATGCCCACCTGAAGGCTGAGGGCAAGGGCGAGCGGCGGTCTGGGAGCTTCGAAGCGGCCCTCAACCCCCGGCTGAAGGGCCTGGAGTACCTGGACAGCGCCGGCCCTGAGGCCCCCTTTCCTGGGCTCCCCAAAGCGGGTCTGGACAAAAGCGGCTACTTTGAGTTGCCTGCCCCCTCGCAAGACTGCGCCCGGCCTAGTCACCAGGACCCACTGGGCGGGAAGGTCACCCAGGCCTGCTGCACTTTAGACAAGGCTGCCAGCAAGGAGACGCCTGTGGGTGCCCCTGGGGCCCAGAAAGTGGCTCGCATCCGGCATCAGCAGCACCTGGTGGCCCCTGAGGTAGAACCGGGGAGCAGCGGGGCCGAGGCCAAGCGCAAGTCTCTGGAGCTGGCGTCTCTGGGCTATGGCGGGCCGCCCCCGCCCCCATGGAACGTCCAGTCAGGCCAGGGGGCCCCCATGGCCATTGGTGAGGAGCGCAAGGCGGGCGCCTATCTGGACCCCTTTGGTGGCACCCTGCAGCAGGCCGCCCTCCTGCCGCAGGACCTGCCTGCCCCGCCCGACGAGGTCTCAGCCATGAAGAACCTGCTCAAGTACAGCAACCAAGCGCTGGTCGTCGGCCAGAAGGCGCCTTTCGTGGGCCTGGGGGGCCTGAAGGCCAGCTGTGCCCAGCAGGACGGGAAGTTCCCAAACTCCAAGGGTGCAGGCCAGGCCTCAGGCGAGGTGGAAAGGCCTGACTGTGCCCGAAGCCGGGAGCATGATGCCACCCACAGTGATGGGGAGGTGCGGCAGCCGCCAGTGGGCATTGCGGTGGCCTTGGCCAGGCAGAAGGACACGGTGAGCCGGTCGGAGTCAGCCTACGGTGCCAACACAGGACGGCAGGGCCGGGCAGCCCCCGCCTTCAAAGGTACGGACCCTCCACGGGGCGGGGGGTGGGGGTGTCACTGACCTGCCCTAGTCCACTCACCCACGGTTCCCAGGGCTGGACCCTGGGCTTTCGCACCCATCACCTCCCCACGTCTGCAGTTTTTCCTGGCGCTGAGCTGACCTGCCCTGCGCCTTTCCTGTGAGACTCACGGGGCAGGAGACCCCTCTGTTCATCAGTCTCCTGGCTTGAAGTGGGGTTCCTGCTTGCTTTAGCTGTGGCTCCCCAGCCAACCCAGCCCTCACCCCTTCTGCCATCCCCCCACTGTGCAGCTGGCAGTGGGCCCCGCTCCACCCACCCACTGGACCTGGAGGCCGAAGAGGAGAGGGCCCGCCTGTGTGAGGACCGCCTGGGGCTTCACCCCCACCCTGCCCACCCTCCTTGGCTGCCCCGCACCCGCAGCCCCTCCTTGTGGATGGGAGGACATTCCTACGGTCAGTGCTCTGAGGGCAGGTAGGGGCACGGGGCAGGAGAAGAGTCTTGGCGGGGCATGGTGGTCAGTGCCGGCCCGGGGCCCTGTTTCCTGCTCTGCTCTGTCTGACCCCAGTGCCCTGTCTCCACAGGCCTTGGGCACCCTGCCCTGCACCAGAATCTGCCCCCCGGCTTCCCTGCATCCGTGCCCGGCTCCATGCCCCCCGTCTTCCCCCTCTCCCAGGACGCCCCCACACAACTAGTCATCCTGCCCTCTGAGCCCACACCCCACACGGCCCCCCATGCGCTTGGTAAGGGCCTCTCAGGCCAGGCTATTTGCATGTTGTGGGGGGATCAGAAGCAGGTCTGAGGAAGGGAGCAGCCCCCTTGGGCGCTGGGGAACGGGCAACAAGGCAGCACCCGGCCAGGGCCCGAGAGACAGGTGTGAGGCAGATACTTGAGAGGTGAGGGCCGGAGGAGGTCCACTCGGCTGGGATGCGGCCCGGTCATCCTGTCTCCGCCGAAGCTGACTGCTCTTCTGGCCCTGCCCACAGCTGATGTCATGGACCAGGCTTCGCTGTGGCCCCCCATGTATGGGGGCCGGGGCCCCGCCTCCCACATGCAGCACCCCGGCCAGCTCCCCGTCTACTCCCGGTCCCAGTTCCTGCGGCAACAGGAGCTCTATGCCCTGCAGCAGCAACAACAGCAACAGCAGCAGCAGCAGCGGGCCACTCAGGCCCTGGAGCTGCAGCGGGCCAGCCAATTCCAGGTACCCACCCCCTGGCATGCCCAGCTGGGACCCAGGGCACCCCTGGCTCCCTCTGTGCTTCAACCTAACCGGGTCCAGGAGTCCCCACTGCCCACTCTCCCCGTCCCTGCCCTGCACCACAATGCCCTGAGCACTGGGGGCCCCGGCTGGGCTGAGCCTCTGCCCCACCCCAACAGCAGAAGCCTGAGGACCACCACCTGGAGCTGGAGGAGCCCGCCCAGGAGAAGGCCTTGAAGTCCACCCACAAGCCAGTTGCCTTAACCCCCACGGCCAAGGGCACCCCCTCACCAGCCACTGCAGGCCCTGCGAAGCTGTCACCCTGCTGCCACTCTCCCGCCCCGAAGCCCCCCCCCGCCAGCTGCCCTACACCACCACCGCATCCTATCGCCCCGTGCACTTTATCCGTCTGCCCCACCGGCAGCCCCGGGCCAGGCTCCAAGCTGCCCAGCGCCGAAGACAAGAGTGGGGAGGGCCAGCGGCCCAGAGCCGACCTCAACACGTTGGATCCAGGTGAGAGCGGGCGCACTGGGCTGGCCCTGGCCTGCCTGCCCCCTCCAGTCAGGCCTGGCACCTGCCTGGTGGGCTGAGCTGAGAGGGGACCATGCTACCGGGCTTGGCCCCTGGTCCCCTGCAGGGCTGTCCTCACCTTCCCAGTCCCCCTGATGGGGCCTGGGACAAGGTGGCCTGTCCCACTGCTCTTGCCCTTCCTCCCTCTCTTGTCCTTCTGAGGGACCCATGGGAAAAGCACTCAGGGTTCCTGCCCCTGACAGATGGGGCAGGGTGAAGGTCAGGCCCAGCCAGCCGGCGCTGGAGCCTCGAAGATGAGAAAGTGCCTGGCCTGCCAGTGATGGTGGCAGGACCACGGGGCAGCAGCCACGAAGCTGGGCAACACAGAGCTCATTCTCACTGTGGGGGCCCAAAATGCCACGGCTTGGGCCCGAGGCAAGGAGCGGCAGCCTGCGGTGAAGGGTCCAGGCCCAGCCCGGCCGCTGCAACCACCCTCCTGCCCACTGCCCGCCAACTCCCCACAGCTATTTGATTCTCTCTGAATTAGGCTAAGAGTTTACAGTGGAAGCCCATGTGGCAAACATAAAACCCGTCCCAGTTCCACAATAAGGAGGCTGAGCCAGCCGTGGTTGTTTTGTGTGTGTGTGTGTGTGTGTGTGTTTTAGACTTTTTTTTATTTCTTTTTTTTTATTGTAGTTAATGGGGCGTAATGCCTCCGACAGGCTGCCAGCTCGTTCTGGTTCAGGGAAAACCCTGATTCAAGTATCTTGTTTTAAAACCCCCCCTTTTCTGGTTAGCCACACCACATATGCCAGAGGTGGCCTCCAGGGACCCCCCCCAGGGATACACNCCGCAAGGCTGCGTCTTAAGCTGGGGAGCTCACAACTGTCCTGGTCAAGGACGGGCCTGGGAAATAGCCCCTCCTGCCCCCCGTGCTCTTCTGCCCGTGTCAACACACCGTGTCCCCATTCCTGCCTGGCACGTTTCACAGGCAGAGGGTTGGCTGGGGACCCTCCCCGCAGGTGGAGCTGGGATGTTGGAGGCCACCCTCATCCCCAGCTGCTCTCCTGACTGCACTCCTGTCTTGCAGACCTGCCTCCCGGATACACATGCCCTGCGGCGGCCAGCTCGGGCTTCTCCCTGCCCCGCAGCGTGCACTCATCTGACCTCTCGGACCCTGAAACTATGCAAACTGCCCCACTGGGGGCCCAGCCTGAGCTGGCCAGGACGTTCCCGCCCGGAGAGCTCTGCCTCCGCAGCCCCCAGAAACTGGAGGAGACTGGGCTGCCCTCAGGGACCAGAGAGGCCACCCAGGACCTTGCCGCCACCCCCCACCCTGCCGAGCGGGGACCCCCGGGGAAGGCAACAGACCCAAGCCCACTGGAGGGGCTGCGAGAACTGCGGTGTGGGGCTCTCCTCGAGGGAGGGGGCCCTGAGGCCTCTGGCCAGGCTGATTCTACTCAGGGAGGAGGGGCCCCAGAGGCAAGGACCATGGAGGAGGGGCGGGAGGACGGACAGCTGGGGCCCTCGTTGGGGGCCGGTCCCCAGGCCGTGGAACAGCCGGTGAGGAGCTTGGGCACCCTGAATCAGGCCGAGCCGGGCAAACAGCAAGGCCCTACAGAAGCAGAGGCAGAGGAGGTGGCCGAGTTGGAGGAGGCTGAACTAGAAGAGGAGGAAGAGGAGCAGGACTGGGGTTCGACTCCTGACAACAGCCAGCTGCCCGGGGAGCTGCCCGGGCTGGACGCTCTGGTGGCAGCCACCATCAACCTGGGGGACCTGCCCAGCGTCGGCCCACTGGACCCTCCGCCCCCCACTGTCCCTGGGCCACCCCGCACAGCTCCCCTGCCCCATAGCTCAGGGATTCATGGAATTGCCCTGCTCAGCGAGCTGGCCGACTTGGAGATCCAGCAGCAGAGGACTGAGCCAGCCCTGCAAGGTGAGCCCCATCCCACCCAGAGCCCCAGAGCCCCGGGAGCTGGACCCTCAGGCACAGGGTCAGCCTTCAGCCCCACTCAGTGGTCCCCACAGTGTGGCTCCGAGTCAGGAAACCAGGCAGGTGCGCCCACACCTCCAGCATCACCTCCATTCCCAGCTGCAGGTTGGGCCATGGGGGCAGGGCCTCAGGGCCAGGACTGTGCCTCTGATGGTGGTGTCAGGAAGACCTCTGGGATTCTCACGATGCCCTGGGGGGCAGGGGGTGTGCTCAAGGTTGTCCCCATTTTACGCACAAGAGTGCCAAGGCCCACAGGTGGGGGGGTGGGGGGCCCAGGTCACTAAACGATGATCTCACAGCCAGGAAAGGGGAGGAGAGATGGCGCTCTCTCTGCAAGCTATCACCACTTTGGGTTCTGCAGCTCCCGAACCTGATACCTGCATTGGGTCCAGCTAAAGACACGGTGACCCTCGCCTCCCAGGCCCTGGGAGGAGGGGCCCTGGGGAGTTGAGGCCCCCCTAAGCCTCACCAGGCCCCTGGAGCTGACCTGCTGGGCAAGTTGTTCCTGGGCTCCCTGCATCCCACCCAAGGGCCAGGCCTCCGCTTAGGCCTCTCTAGCCCTTAGGTCCCCCCAGGGACTCCACCCAGGCTCTCCCAGCTGGAATCCTAGGGGGGAAAGGGGAAGCACCCCCAACCAGGCACTGTACCTGGTTGATATTTATAGAAAGAACCCAACAACGTTCTCAGCTGGCCTGCCCGTCTTCTCACCGTATGAACCTCTCACAGCCCACAGCCAGCCGCCAGCACCTCTTGTGCTGCGTGGAGATAAGCGAAAGTTCTTGTTAATTTCCCCGAAGGCCTCTGTGTCACTCCTTTGCTGTCTGACCAGAGGGGCCACCACTGTCCTGGTGAGGAGAGTGAGCCAGTGAGCCCTCGCCGGGCACGACCCCTGGAAGGGTGAGGTGGGATGGCCCTGGGCAGGGGGCTCTGCTGCCCAAGTCACCTTGTGAGTGTGGCTGGCGTGAGGGTGCACTGAGCCAGTGCCAAGCACCATGTGTGTGGCCACCCGGTCGGTGCCTGTGAATGCCTGCTGGACCCGTGCCCATTCATTGAATGGATGCTCACGTGTAGACCACGTGTGTCCCATTGTGGGCATTGCAGCTGCCAGGCCAGGCCAGGCCCTGCTGCCACTGCTGGGTCTCCACCCCACCCTCCCCTTCTGGAACCTGCAAGCCCCCACTCTCCCCTCTTGTTTCTCCCAAGCCCCCCACCCTCCCTTCTTAGAGCCCTCAGGTCTTCACCCTCCCCTTCTGTCACTCCCAGGCCCGCCCCTTCCCACTGTCCCAGTTAATTGGCCGGTCTGCGCAGCCTCTCAGCTCTGGAGCTGTTCCTTACAAGCTCAGTGACTGCTTTGCCTGAAATTAATTAGGAAATCAGCTTGTTTTTGGAGCAAAAGGCAGGACTCACAGAAGGAGAAGATGGGAGAAGAACATCCCGGGAACAGGCCGGGATGTGGAGGGGAGAGGGAGGGAAAAGATCCCAGAGGGTCAGCAGGGCCTCCCGCCCTCTCATCCTTGAGTACGTCCCCCCTGAAGTACATCCCAGGCTGGGGAGAGCTGCTGAAAGGCCAGATGGGGATCCTGAGAAGTGGGAAAGAGGCGGTAACCAGGTTGAGGAAGGTGACGTGGCCCCGGCTCTGTAGCCAGGCCCCAGGCTGTTTGCTCCACTCGCATCGGCGTGGGCGTCCAGAGTCCTCACTGCCCCCACCGGTAGGACTTGGCCCAGGACCCTGGCTTATCCCCCATCTGGGCTCAAGTCCAGGGAGCTCAGTGGGCAGGCTGCCCAGCCCGCAGACCTCCATTCCAGCTAGGGCAGGGACTCAGGCCCCAGACAAAGCCTTGAGGTTGGGAGGAAGTCGGGACACCTCTGGCCATTCACTTGTCTGACTGTGGATTTTTAGGCCTGCCTGCAGGGGCCCATCCCTGAAGTGCCCAGAATGCCCCACTCTGCACTTGGAGCAGCTAGCAAGAGCCATGGTGTCCACTACACTTCCCATCTACCCTGGGATTTTGTGAAGCCCAGGCTCCATCCCAGAGTATGGTTGCCCCTTCTTTCCTGAGTGACCCACCCAGTTTACTTGATGAGCTGAGTCCAGATCCCAGACCCCCTTTTGATCTGCTACACTCCCTCCTCCCACCTGCTCCTGGCCCCGAGAGGCTTTACCAGCCTGGCTAGTTGGGAGAAAACCCAAGTCTTGGGCCTCTTCTGTACCTGTGGAGCCTCAACCTGCCTGGAGAGCCCATCCCACATCCCTCCTGGGACAGGGGGTATAGACCTGGAGGCTTAGTGGGTAGGACTGTTGTTGTCTGCCCCTACAGCTCCCTGAACCAGAGAGCATGGCAGGGTCTCGTTTGGAGCCCAGAGAAGAGCCCAGCACCACCAGCACCCCTGCCATCTCCTTAAGCCCCCCATTCCTGCCCCCCGCCAGAGCTCACCTGCAAGACTTTGCCATCTTAGCAGGCTTAGCCTGAGGAGTAAGTGAGGGACAGGGAGGTGTCCTCACAGTCACAGTGACCTCAAGGGACAGGGAGACCCTGTGGAACTTGTAGCTGAAATGGAATTTGCAGATATCAGTGCCCCAGCTTGAGGTGGAAGAAGAAAGCCCCTGCAGCCCCTCCCCTGTCTTCCCAGGGCACCTTTGACCCAGCACCCCACCTCTGGCCTCGACCCAGCGCTGCATCCAGAGGGTTGAACTTCCGGTGTCCACCTGTGCTCTGTCCCATTACTGAGAGTGGGTCACCCCATCAAGGCTGTGACCGGGCACCTCTATTGTAGTTACTCAGTGGGGAGTGTCTTTGAAATGATGTGATATCTCGTTCCTCTTCAAACATTGGATTCACTCATTAATTTATTTATGTCAGTGTAACTTGTGGATATTTATTTACTTCAGTCTGTTATAATGTGTCACTTCACCATTTAATCTGGTGATTGAATTATCTCAGGTTTGGCCCCTTCCGCTGGATCGTCCTCTGAGCTTCCTGTGTTCCCAGCTCACCTGAACCTCTCAGCTTACCCCAAACCTTTCCCCATTTTTCTTGGGGCAATGTCCCCAGGAAGGCTGATGCCTTTCCTCAGAGGATATTAGAAGCCAAGTTCAGGGTGTAGGTGTGCTCATTAGCACTGGGGTGTTGCTCTCAGGTCTTCTTCGGGGGCAGAATTGGCTATGTGTTCTAGACGTCATGACTACCCACTATACACCTCCAGCCCTAGGGACACTGCCTGACCCCACAGGGCTCATCCTGGCCGGTCCCTCCCTGGCTGTAGCTCATAGGATCTGCCTACCTGCATGTGCCCTACCCCCACCCCCACCCCACTCCCTGTATCTGCCACCACCCCCTCCCCATGGTTGTATTCAGCCTCAAGTCTTCACTCCAGGCCTGTCTCATGAATGGACACTGCCCTCCACTGGCCAGGCTCTGACCCCGCAACGGGCCGTCCCTCCCCACCCACCAGGGCTGTGACACTCCGCATTTTCATGAATCTGGAAGAGCGCAAAAATGCAAGGCAGTTGCTGTTAGAGGTGTAATGAGACCCATGCCTTAACGAAATCGTCTGGTCACTGTCCTGTGGACTTGTGCCATTCCAACTGGCCTGGCCCACAGTAGCCAAGGGTGACATCTCCCTCACCCAGAGCTGAGGCGAGGGCTAGGTGTCTGACCCAGGACCCGTCTCGTTCCCAGCCACCTCACCCTCATTGGTCTGAATGTCTCAGGGAGCTGGGCAGCCTGTGGGTGAGGGTGGAGGGCGGGAGCATGCTGCAGGGTGGAGGTAAGGAGGGGGTAGTCTGGGCTGGGCTGAGATGCAGGCTGACGTCAAGAGACTCTCTGAGGGACAGTGTGTGGCCTGCTGTCATCACACTGACCCTCATGTCCCCTGCAGAGGAGGAGGATGTGCTGGCCTTCAACCTGCAGCGCCTGGCCACCCTGGCCTCAGCCTGGTCCCTGGTCGAAGCTGCTAACCTGGACAGCCCCGCCTCCTTGGCCCAGCCCCCTACCGCTGACCCCTGCAGGGCTCCTGCGCTCACCCCCCGCATGCAGATCCTGCGGCGCAAGGACACCTGGACCCCCAAGACCAAGCCTGTGAGTGGGGTGGGGGGGCCCTGGTTGCCCCCTATTGCCCACTGCCATGACGGTGGGTGGGGCCTCGAGTGCCCAGGCTGGCCACCTGCCCATCCCATCGCGGTCACGTAGCTGGGCTCACGGGCCTCTGTGCCCCTGCCCACTAGGTGTGCCCACTGAAGGCTGCCATCGATCGGCTGGACACGCAGGAGGTGGAGATGCGCGTGCAGCTGGCGGAGCTGCAGAGGCGCTACAAGGAGAAGCAGCGGGAGCTAGCCCGGCTGCAGCGCAGGCACGACCATGAGTATGGCCCAGGCTGGCAGTGGGGCGGGGAGGGCGGGAGTGCAGCTTGTGCAGACGCCCCCAGTTCAGGGCAGAGGCGGGCACGGCCCAGCCCAGGGCCATCGCCTTGTGGCCAGGGGTCAACCTGTGTGTGCTGGGGTGAGTGGGAACTGGAAGGGGGGGGTGCCTGGGAAGGTCCCCAGAGGCAGTGGAACCATGAGGCAGTCACCCAGCAGAGAAACCAAGGTGCGGTACGGTGTGGGGTGGAAGAAGTACGCAGCAGAGGCTAGTGCAGGACAGAGTCTTGTCCTTGGGTGGTGGGGCAAAGGGTGAGGGTAGTGCTTTCAGAGAGGGGGCCAGGGCAAGGTTGAGCTCTGGGGGGCAGAGGGAACCCCAAGTTTGTCATAGCAGTAGTGGCAGCTCACCTGACTGGTGTGTACAGGACAGCTGGAACTGGGAAGCAGGGATGGTGGGACTCTGGCTCAGCCATGCCCTCCACGGGGTGGCCAGGCTCCCCAGGCCCAGTCTTGGGACAGCTGGCTGCCACCATATCCCCCAAGGCCAGTGACCTCTGCTGGACTCTTGCCAGAGAGCCAGGAAGGGCATCAATCTCTGACCACCCTTCCTACGGTCCCCAGGAGAGACGAGAGCTCAAGGAGCCCTGCCAGGCGAGGGCCTGGCCGGCCACGGAAGCGCAAATACTCCAGTTTGCTGCCTGCCCTGCGACCCAGCGACAGCAAGAAAGTCAAGTGAGTCCTGGGTGCAGGGGTCCCGTGGGGTGCCTAGGGCTGAGGTTAATCGATGAGGCTGGGCTGGCCCAGGTGCCCTTAAGGCCTGACCATTGGGGCTGGGCTCCTCTCTGGCTCCCGGGGCCACAAGAGCCCCCCTCAGAGTTTCTCCTGAAGACCCAGAACCCCAGGCCAGACGTGGTGGTGAGCGTGGCGGTGTCCCGGGCCCTGAGCTCAGGGCAGACAAGCCCCACCTCCTGGGCCTGGCACGTGGCCACTCCAGCCCCACGGACCTGGCTGTGGCCAGGGCGGTGGCATACCCCCTGCCCTGCCCCAGCCCCCGCCCAGTCCCACAAGTACGAGGCGGCGTTGCGTAAAAGCCTCTTTATCTGCACCGTATAGAGTCGTTGGTCACGCTGCGGTGCTGCGCACGGCTGCCGGCACGCGGTTATTATCCATTACCCGCCCGGCGCAGTCGTTGGCGCACTCCCGGGCCTGGTATAATTGTCCTTCTCGGCTACAAATTGCCTCTCCCGGCAGGCCCATTTGCATAAATCCTCGAGTTCCTCCAAACACGATTGGCGCGGCGTGTACGCACTGCATCAATCCTGATGATTTGGTAATAATAGTTAAATCGGCACTAAATGGTTCCTTCAATTAAGACAGAGGCAAAAAATTAATCTCAGGGCTTTATGTCACAAAACATTAGCAAATGCAGAGAAGGTTACAGGGAGGGGAATTCTCCTCGGCTGCGGGCGGGGGAGGGGACGCACCATATGGCTTGGGGGAGCCTCCGGGGGCTGTCCCTCCACCCTGCCCAGGTGTCACCCCGAGGGGGCTCCAGGGGGCTCCCTTTGAGGACTAGCCAGAACTGGGGGGCTGCTGGCTAAGGCCAGGGCCTGGCAGGGGGCCTTGTCAGGGATCCTCTTGTCGAGGCTGCCCCACACTTGTCTCAGACCCACCTGGCACCAAGAGCCAGCCCGAGCCTGGAAGCCAGGTCCTGGTGCTTGCATCTGGCCACTTTCCCCACTGACCTGAGAAAGCAGGCCCTGGTTGGTGGGGGACGGAAACCAAAGCCAGGGCCCTCCCTTCCTAAGGACTGGGGTTCCCTCCCACCTCTCCCCATCTCGGGCTCCTCTCCACTTTCCATCCCTCTTCTGGGCCCCTACCCTGCAGTAGCTGCCGACAGTTGGGCTCAGGCAGGAAGTGGGAGGGCCAACGCCCGGGGCCACGCGTGGCTGCGGGCTGGCTTCCTGGCTGGCCTCTCTGGGCAGGAAGGTAAAAGTTGACTTCTGGCCACACAAGGCCAGGGCCGGGTCAGGGCCCTCAGCCTCCACCTGGGACTCCTTTTCATTAATGCTATGTGGGTGAGGGAGCAGGTAGGTGAGAGGCCCAGCCCCCAGCCCCTGTTTGCCCAAGGACAGAGAGGAGCTCGCAGCCTCACACCTGTGGGACATGGAACCAGGCTCAGAGTCAGTGGCTCCCAGGGTCTGGGAGCTGGGCTAGAGGGAATTCAGAGTCCCTCCTTTGAGACCAGGAATTGAAGGCAGGGGACAAAGTTCTGAGGGGTCTGAGCCCAGCAGTGGGGGTCCCAGGGGGCTGGGAGGCAGAGCCTGGGCACGAGTTTCTCTGGCCACTGACCCCCCATCCTTTTCCTGACCGTGGCAGAGCTGCTTCAAGTGGACCCCATTCTCGGCAGACTCTCCTCACTCCCTCTTTTTTCCTAATTGCGGTAGCTGCTGGCCTTTGGACTCAATAAGGGCCCGGCCTGGGACCGGCACGATCCCACCCCCACCTTGCAGAGAGACACAATGAAAAGCACCCCCACTTTCCAGGTAGAAAGACTGAGGCTACAGCCCAGGAGGCCACAGCCCAGGTCACACAATGGCCCAGCCAGCTGCAGGGCTGTGGCCCCTAAGCAGTGGGCAGAGGGGGCCGGCTGGGTAGCAGGTGCCCCAGGGGCTCAGCACTGGCTTGGCTCGCCAATGCCCCCCCCAGCAGTTCTGGGTGCTTGGAGGAGCCTGGCCCAGGGACACAGCCTTGGCTAGGAAAGAGGCAGGGCCCTCACAGGGAGAAGTGGGTCTGCAGACTTAGAGCTGCACCACACACCCCCGCCACGTGGCGCCCCGGCTGCCACCACAGGGCCTGTCATGGGCACCAGGCCCGGGTGCCCCGGTGTGACCTCCGCCCCCCATGCTCCCAGGGCTGTGCGGTCTAGCCTGAGCCTACTATGTGCTGAGCTGCGGGGTGGCGATGATGAGCCTTCGAAGAAGCGAGGCCGGCTGGAGAAGGGCGCCTACGTGGGCCTGCAGCCCGCGTCTGCGGTGAGTCCCCGCTGCAGCCTTCCCCTTGGGCCGGGTGCAAGATGTCAGACAGACAGGACAGGGAGCAGGCGGAAGACCAGCCCCAGGATGAACACTGCCTCCCAGCCCCGCCCTGCACCACCACCCAGCTGGGGTCCCCTTGCTCAGATGAGCAGATGAGGCCCAGAGAGCTGCGTATGCCTCACACAGAGCCGGGCCTCTGAAGGTATGAGAGGAGCTGGTTGTGCTCCATGACACCCCCCTCCTCTGCTCACTACAGCGTGAGGAAAGGAGCACATAGGTGTCGTGGGTCACAGGACGCACTGCCCTGGTCACAGGTGGATGATGCATACCTGGTGCATACCTGGTGTAGTGGGTGGGCCAAGGACAGCTATTCCTCCCTTGGGATGGGCTTCCCCCGGGTGCCAGGCCCCCCATTCCTTCTCAGTGCAGTGGGTACATCCTACCCCACCCCTATTCTAGGGTCCTGGGAGGGACAGGCGAGAGGTGGGTCTGAGTCTATTGTCACTTTGCCTGTCCCTCCCCTAGTAGGAGGCTGGTCCCTCTCTCCAGGACAGGACAGACGTTTGGGTCCTTGGCCTCCCTCCCCAAACCTGAGTGGGTTGGGCTCCTGGGAAGGCTGTGAAATGGGGGAGAGACAGGCACAAGTTGAGGCTCCACTGGGCAGACCCTGTGCCCGGGGGGCCAGAGCCCTTTCAGTCATTTTGGAGGGCAAGGCCAGTGACCTGCCACCTCCCAAGCCTACCTACCAGTGGTAGAAGGGAGGCCGGAGGTTGCAGGGCCGTGGCTAAGGGTTGGGGCACCAGTAACTGCAGCTTCCACCTGCCTGTTCACAGGAGAAGGTTCGGTGCAAGAAGAGCAGCAGTCAGGGCGACCTGGCATCTGCTGTGGCCCACAAGGTGGCCCAGCTGAAGCCGAAGGTCAAGAGCAAGGGGCTGCCCACTGGCCTCAGCCCCTTCCGGCGAAAGGAGGCCACCCCAGGGGGTCGTATCCGGAAGAAACTGTCACGAGCCAAGAATGCCAAGGCATCTGGGATGGCCCGGCACCCACAGCCTGATGGCAGCATTGGTGGCAGGGAGGCACCTAAGTTCCCAGCCCAGCCGGCAGCGGCCACAACACGTGAAGCAGGCAAGTTGTTGGTCCGAGCATTGCAACCAGGACCTCCACGCTCATTAGGGGCTGGGGGAGGGGGTGGTCAGGGGCTCTTGGAGTGTGCTGGACCCAGGGAGACCCTCTTGCTGGCCTAGGATGGATTCTCCGTGTCCCACCCCCACACAGGGGGCCACGGGGAGGAAGCAGACAGCTGGATGCATCCTGGAAAGAGGGGTTAAAAATAGCCCTTCTGCCTGCTCCAGCCGGCCTTCCTGCTGTGTCCGGCCAAGTGACCTGGAGAGGTTATCTGGCCCCCAGCAGACACACATGTCCAGAGACAGGGGCCTGGAAAAATAGATCCTTCCTCTCTGCCAGCCCCTGCCCCCTCCTCCAGGTCCCGCCTGGGAAAGAACAAAGGGAAGGAAGAGGAAGCAGGAAGACAGAGGGCATCTGGCAGGAGGATGAGTGAGGGAAAGGGGCTGCCCCCGGGGGTGGGGACCCTCAGCCCTGCAAGGTGGGGGCCCCAACTGTCCAGCGCGTAAGGAAGGGAGATTGAGACAGAGAGAGGGAGGTCAGAGAGGCCGCCCCTTCTCCTCCTGGTCTAAACAACCTCACCTGGACACCTGGCCCAGGTGTCTGCCCTCGGAGCAGCCCCCGTACGACAGTGACAGACTCTGCTCGGCCCCCGACACATCCGCACACATGAACCATCCGCTCCCCTAGCCACACCCCAAAATGGCGCTGCTCTGATGCCAAGTTACCTGGATCATCCACCTCCCCACAGACAGCGGCTCAGACAGTGAAAACTGTGATGGTCTGCTGGAGACAGAAGAATCCCCCAAGGAGCCCGGGCTGGTGCTACACGCTGGGACCCGCATGGCCATGCTGGGGCCCTCGCCCTCCTCCGTGGTCAAGATGGAAGCCAACCAGAAGGCCAAGAAGAAAAAGGAGAGGCAGAGCTTGCTAGGTACCCAGGGGGGGCTGGGCTGGGGCAGGCCGGGCCGGGAGGGGCCCCGGGAGGCAGCTGGGGCTCCTGTGACACCTACCCTCCCTCCCCAGGGGCCTGCCGCCTGTCCAGCCCCGAGAATGAGGTCAAGGTTAAGCGGAGGACGGTGAAGACCAAGGTGGGCAGCAAGCTGGAGCGGGCCCCGGGGCGCAGGCCCCCAGGGGGGCCCGGCAAGAAGAAGGCCAAGGCCAAGGGCGGCCTGCGGGCAGAGCCGGGGGCCGCGCCCAGCAGGGACGCCCTCTGCGGCCCCGCCCGGGCCTTCGCCTGCCATGAGGAGGGCAGCAGGCTGGCCAGCGAGCGCCTCAAGAGAGCCACACGCAAGAGCACGGTGCTCCAGCCGGGGCTGCGGGTGAGGGCCGGTGGGCGCCCCGGGGTCCTGGGCTCAGCAGGGGGGGTACTGGATGCGGAAAGCCTTTGGGGACCCTCACCCCACTCTTCTCTACTTGCTACACCAAGTCACACCCTGGGACTCATACTCAGGGTCTGTCTGAGTCACTCCACGGGCACACTGGGGGCAAGGAGGTTTGTGCCACCCTCACCTCACCCCTCTCCTCCGACAGCGGAAGAATGGGGCCCTGTCCATCGCCCTGTCACCCCGCAACGCCAAGGCCATCCTGGGGAGGGGCCGGAAAGCGGGCAAGGTGAAAACCAAGGCCGTTGGCAAACAGGTAGCATCCCTGCCCCAAGCCCAGGGAACCGGCCAGCCCTGACCACCCACCCCCACCTGTCTCAAGGGAGCTGACCCCTCTGGCCCCCAGGGCAAGGGCCGGGCAGTCAGTCGGCTGCTGGAGAGCTTTGCGGTGGAGGACGACTTTGAGTTTGAGGACAGCAGCTGCCTCTCGGAGGATGAGGAGGAGGAGGAGGAGGCCAGTGGCCCCCTGAGCGCAGAGCAGAGCGCCGCCCTGGGTGAGTGGCCAGGAAGGGGCTCGGAGCATCGGGGAGGGGCAGTGGTGGGCAGGTGGGGGGCCGGGCACTGACGCCCTGGTCTCCGCAGCACGCTCATGCACCATTCACAAGGAGGACCTGCAGGACGGGCTGCCTGTGCTCATCCCCAAGGAGGACAGTCTGCTGTATGCAGGCAGCGTCAGGACCCTGCAGCCCCCTGACATGTGAGGCCCCGGCGTGTATGCTGGGAGGGCTGTGGGCAGGGTGGGGGGTCTGCAGGCCTATCTCATGCTCCCGTTGCCATGCCCCGTCCCCGCCTCAGCTACAGCATTGTCATCGAGGGTGAAAGAGGCAATCGGCAAAGGATCTACTCGCTGGAGCAGCTGCTGCAGGAGGCGGTGAGGGGACAGCCCCTGTTCGGCTCACCACCCCAGGGAGGTGGGCCTGATGGCACCCAGCCCCTCCTGGGCGCCCCTCGGCCAGCCCTGCCCGCTCACGGCTACCAAACTACTGTTCCCACAGGTTCTGGATGTCCGACCCCAGTCCAGCCGGTACCTCCCGCCCGGCACGAGGGTCTGTGCCTACTGGAGCCAGAAGTCCCGCTGCCTGTACCCAGGCAATGTGGTACGAGGTGAGCGCCACCCGGGGACCCCAGTGAGGTCCATCAACTCCTCCCCTCAGGCAAAGCTACAGACCGGAGGCCCATCCAAGACCCCTAGGGTGCCAGGGAGGGGACCCTGTCTCTCAAGGAAGGCTTCCTACCAGCCCTGCTTCCCAGGCCAGAGCAGATCAGATAGGGCAGACGATAACCTCAGCTCCTTGGTCAACAAGAAAAGTCGAGGGGCTGCCTGGGTGGGGACAGGGTGGAGCCACTGGCTGACCAAGAAGGCCTAGCAGAGAGGGGCCCCAGAGCCCTGGACCTGAGGGTTATGAACTGGTCACCTGGGTACCAGCTCTCCTGGGTGAATTCTTCTGTTCCCCCCTCCCCGGCACAGGATGTGGGGTCAGACAGGTGGGTGGGCAAATTGTCTGGCAGGCCTCAGCCAGGCATGTGTCTGCATCTGTGAGCCTGTCCACAGGGGGAGGTCGGGGGCCCTGCGTCCCTACGTGTGTGCCCTGGGATGCTGGTGATGGATGGCAGTAATATTGCCTCTCTGGCGGCATTTCAGGAGGTGGAGGGGAGGCGAGCTGCTCCCAGCTGCCACGGCAGCTCCAAGGTCAAATGTGATCAGGGAGCAGAATGTCCCAGCATCATTTGTCAGGCGCTCCGGAGCCCATCCCATCATTCTCCTGTCCTGGCCACCTGGCCACTGGGGAGAGCTTTTTGGGCCCAGAGCAGAAGGTGGTGTGCTCAGGTGGGCCCTATCTCCAGGCACCTCCAGTGATGAGGAAGAGGACCTGGACTCCGTGGTGGTGGAGTTCGACGATGGGGACACTGGTCACATTGCTGTCTCCAACATCAGGCTGCTGCCTCCAGACTTCAAGATCCAGTGTGAGCCCCAGGGCCCTCCAGGGTGGCATCCTTCCTTCCTGGACCAGCCCATATGGCTGGAGTTCGGGCGGGCTTCTCCTGGGTCCAGACATTAGCTCCCTGGTCTCCCAAGAGGAGGCTCATGGGGAAGAGGTCACCCCGGCAGCACAGCGCTGAGGCCACTGGTCCCCCTGCAGGCACCGAGCCCTCACCAGCCCTGCTGGTGTCCAGCAGCTGCCGGAGGACCAAGAAATCTTCCTGTGAGGCGCCCCCGCCCAGTGAGGCCACCGCTCCCAGCCTGTCTCCTAAGGCTCATGACGGGTCTGAAGCCTCAAAGACCTCCGGGAAGAAATCCACAGGCAAAGACAAAGCTGGTACTCACAGGACCTCTGGTGGGGAACTCCCTCAGGAGTGGGGGGGAAGGAAGGGTGGGAGGGTGGTTTCTCTGACTCTACCTGGCCTCTCCCCAGGCAAAACAGAGCTCCTGACCTCTGGTGCCAAGCCCCCCACGGGGGCCTCAGACCACTTCTTGGGCCGCCGGGGCAGCCCGCTGCTGAGCTGGTCGGCGGTGGCACAGACCAAGCGGAAGGCGGTGGCCGCGGCAGGCAGCAAGGGGCCAGGCGTGCTGCAGAACCTCTTCCAGCTCAACGGCAGCGCCAAGAAGCTGCGGGCCCGCGAGGCCCTGTTCCCCATGCACAGCGTGGCACCACCTGTGTTCGGCAACGGCTTCCGCGCTGACTCCTTCAGCAGTCTGGCCAGCTCCTACGCGCCCTTTGTTGGCGGGGCCGGGCCTGGCCTGCCCGGGGGGGCCCACAAGCTGCTGCGGGCCAAGAAGGCCGAGGTTGAGAAGGGTGGGCGGCGGCGGACGGGCAGCGAGTTCCTGGTCAAGCTGGACCACGAGGGCGTGACCTCCCCCAAGAGCAAGAACTGCAAGGCGCTACACGCTGGCGACAAGGACTCGGGGCCCAGGCCAGGGAGGCCCCTGCCCAGCCCCAGCTACGGGCACCCAGCCCTCGTGGGCAAGGACAGGAAGGGACGGGCGCCTGTCCACCCGCTGCCCATGGGGCTGGCGCTGCGCAAGTTCGCGGGCCAGGCCGAGTACCCGCTGCCCTGCGACAGCGACTGCCACAGCTCCTACTCAGACGAGGAGGAGGACGGGCCTGGCCTGGCACCCGGCGTGCCCTCCCGCTTCCTCGCCCGCCTGTCCGTGTCCTCCTCGTCCTCGGGTTCATCCACCTCCTCCTCCTCGGGCTCCCTGTCCACCTCCAGCCTCTGCTCCTCGGACGACGAGGGCTCTTCCTACAGCTCGGACGAGGAGGACCCCGCCCTGCTGCTGCAGACATGCCTCACCCACCCAGTGCCCGCGCTCCTGGCCCAGCCCGAGGCCCTGCGCTCCAAGGGGGGCGGCCCGCACCCGCACGCCCAGCGCTGCTTCCTGTCCAGGGCCGCCGTGGCCGGTGGGGGTGCGGGCGCGGGCCCCAGCAGCAGCAGACCCCGGCTCAAGCGCAAGGAGGCCCTGAGCTTCTCCAAAGCCAAAGAGCTGTCCCGGAGGCAGCGGCTGCCCTCCGTGGAAAACCGGCCAAAGATCTCAGCTTTCCTGCCCGCCCGGCAGCTCTGGAAGTGGTCGGGGAACCCCACGCAGGTAGGTGGGCCTGGCCCGCGCAAGCGCCCTCAAGACTTGGCATTTGTCTCTCCTGCACACTGTCGCTTTCTGTCATTCCGGCCTGTGTCCCCTGCCCACCCTGTGCCCCTGGCTGTCTCCTGCAGAGGCGTGGCATGAAGGGGAAGGCCAGGAAGCTGTTCTACAAGGCCATCGTCCGGGGCAAGGAGACGCTTCGCATCGGGGACTGCGCGGTCTTCCTGTCAGCCGGGCGGCCCAACCTGCCCTACATTGGCCGCATCGAGAGCATGTGGGAGTCGTGGGGCAGCAACATGGTGGTGAAGGTCAAGTGGTTCTACCATCCGGAGGAGACCAAACTGGGGAAGCGGCAGAGCGACGGGAAGGTGGGGCCGCCTGGTGGAGGGCAGGGGTCCCAGGGGTCTGGGCAGGCTCAGAGTGGGGGGCTGGGAAGAGGTATCTTAGCAACCAGCACCAGCAGTCTGAAGAAGGGGAATGATCACCTGTGAACATCACCCCTTCCTGTACCCACACCTCAAGGTGCCTCTTCCTCAGGGTCACATGGTCCCCACAGGGAGTAACATGGCTGAGGGCTCAGGCCCTGAGCCAGGCCACCTGGATCCCTCCCCGACCACTTCCATGACTCCTAGTGGAGTGAGTGACAGTTTCACCTCGTCGGGGGCTGTGACCCATGGCAGCATGTAGCACCAAGCAGGTCCCGCCCTCAGCAGCACCCCCCTACAGCAGACCCTCTGGTCCCTGCCTGCCCAAATCGATCTAAGACCCTAAACACCCCCAGCACACTCTCCTGTCTTCCCTGAGAACCGTGTTTGCAGATGGTGCAGAAACAAGTGTTTCTTGCACTCTGCCCACCCGCTGGGGCTCTAGGTGCTGGCTCCCCCGCCACACGGTTAAAATCTTATCCAGAGCTGAGGGTCCCGGGGTCGGGTGGGGTGTGCTGTCCCATGCCAGACCTGACCCCAGGCGCTCCTCACCCCGCTCCCCGGCAGAACGCGCTGTACCAGTCCTGCCACGAAGACGAGAACGACGTGCAGACCATCTCCCACAAGTGCCAGGTCGTAGGGCGCGAGCAGTACGAGCAGATGACACGGAGCCGCAAGTACCAGGACCGACGGGACCTCTATTACCTGGCGGGCACCTACGACCCCACCACGGGGCGCTTGGTGACGGCCGACGGCGTGCCCATTCTGTGCTGACTCTGCGCGGATGGCCGCAGGTGACCCACCTGCCCAGCAGTGCCCAGCGTGCGAGCCACAGGCACGAGAGGACGCAGCCCCACGCCTCTGAGTAGGAGGCTGGCCCACACCTCGGAGGGGCGAGTCTGAGCAAATATGCAAACCCACCAAGGCAAGATCCAGGCTTTTTTTTATTATTATTATTATTTTCCCTGGAAAGCGAGAGAGCTTTTAGGCGTCGGAACCCAGTCCCATCCGTCTGCTGCGGAGGGTCAGCTGTGCCCCCAACTGGGATCCGCCGGCCCTCACTGTTTTCCCGCATCGGCAGTTCACGAGAGATTAGAATCCAAGCCATATTTTCCCTAGTACCTCCGACTGTCTCCCACCAGGGAAAGCAGAAATCAGGTGTGTTGTCTATTTATTTCTCTATGTAAATATTGTATTCCTTGCGGGGAAGTTTTATGGAAAAAAAGTGGAAAAGGATTTTTTTTTTCCCCACACGCGTGACAAGGGTGTGTGTGGGTGAGTGTGTGTGTGTGTCTGTGTATGTGTGTGTGTAGAGATTTTGTTCTGGGGGGTTTTCTTTGAAAATGCACTGTTTTCCTCAGCCTAGCTGAGTTCCAACTGAGGCGTCTGTGACAACAGAGGCAGCGGGGGCGTGGTCCGAGGGGCCAGAGGCCACGGGAGGGATCAGACAGAACCCTAGATTATACCTGCTGACCTCTTGGGGGGACTGTCTAAGATGGAAGTCACACTCGAGTTTATTTCCTTTTAATTCATCTCCTGGGGAAAAAAGTATTGGGGGAGGTCGAATATGAGGGTCCCTTGGGGGGTAGAATGGACACCAGGAGCAGGCTCCCCAGCCCAAGAGTGTGACTGCAGCCATATGTATCTTACCTCTGTTTAAAACAAAGCAAAAATGAACAAATGTTTTAAACTATCAATATGAAAGGATGATGTTTTGATTTGATTTCCTGAATATTCCAAGTTATTTCCAATTTCCGTTTCACTGACCATCTTGCCCAGCCTCCACTCAGCAGGAAAGGAACTGGCCCTCCCCAACTCACGTGGAGTTTTGCGGGCCTTTTCCTCAGCCGCTTGGCAGGGCCGATGACCTGGCAGGCTAGTGCTTGGGGCCCAGAGCAGGGTTCCTCCTGCCCACACCCCAGCTTTGGGTACAAGGAGCACTGCTCTGCCCAGCACCATAATTACTGTTGTGCCGCATGCGTGTCCCAGACCCTCAGCACCACCCCAGTAACCCCAGAGAACATGTCACCCCTTCACTTCTTCTGAGGCCAAGAGGGACAGGCAGAGCAAGCCAGGACCGTGACCCAACAGCCCTTCCCGCCCCCCAAAAACACGCACTGAGGGCTCCATGCTCCCATGTCACACTAAGGGTCCCCTGGCCTCACTGAGATCCCCAGGAAAGCCCCCCACGTTAGCCACTGCTCCTTAGCACGGGCTCTTGTGTGACCCACAGACCCACACCAGGTACCTGGGAAATAAGTCGGTAGGTGCCTGGGCCCCCTTTTCTTTCCAACCAGGAAATCACCCCGCCCACCTGGAGGGCCCCTCCCCCGCTCTTGGCGGCTCCAAGGAAAGTACAGGGACAGGGAGGGGTTCCCCTGCACCCCAGCTTTCCTCTCCCACCCCAACTCTCCCCTTTGTCTCGGCTCGAGTGCAATATTTCATTCCTGGTGGTCGTCCTGGAGACGGCGGCCAAGGTCCTGCTGGCGGCTGGGGAAGTGGAAAGATGCCGTGGAGAGGACACGGCCAATTGCCAAGGCGCATGTGGGGAAGGCCCAGCCATGGACACTAGAACCTGAGGCTACTTCCAACCCCAGTCTGCAAGGCAGAAACGAACAAAACAGGCAGCCTTTTCTTGGCCCTCCCGCCCTCCTGTTGGTTATTCTCCCTGTCTGTGGACTTCTGTCCTTTGCTTTTCTCTCCTCATCCCCTCTGTCCGTGTGTGCGCGGACAGCGCGGCCCCCCACCGTGGTTAAACCTGGCAAAAGCACGACTCATGTAAATGTGTAAACTAAGAGGATGGTTGATTTTTTTTTCAATGTAAACACTAAAAACAAACAAACAAAAAAAATGCAAAGGTTTTATGAACAGCAAACTCTATGTAAAGGCATTTTAGTATTAAATTTTTTATTGATAACTTGCTTAAGAATAAATATATAAACTATTGTACAGGTTTTCAGTGGTCCAGAATCCTAACTGCACCCCAGTGTCCAATGTGTGTGTTCTCTCCTCCCTGGAGGCCCCAGAGGCTGGGGTCTCAGCAGACAAGGGACTGGGGCAATGGCGAGGCCTACCCTGCAACAGCCTAGCAGAGCCAGAATTGGGGGGGCTGGGCCTTTCCTTTGAGAGGCACATGCAGCCAAAATGGCTTTGGAGTGGCCTTGGCTTTGAGACCCCCCCACCCAGGACAAGTGTCCCTCTCTTTATAGAGCTCTCCCATGGTGGGTCAGATGTCCAGCCTGAACATGTGGCCAGGCCGGGTGCCCCTGGAAGGGAGGAGGGGAAGGTACAGGCAGGGGGGAGAAGGTGGTCCCCAAAGTGGAGGGGAGGGGTCTGGGCAGACCGGACAGCAGACACTCTCCTCACGGAAGGCATGAATTTGACAAATATTTTCAGCTATGCAGGAGTTACACTCAAACAGCAGTCCTGATTGTTCAATGGATGGTTGGCCCCCCTCAGGGCCTAGGGGATGTTGGGCAAGGGTACATCTCAATGTGCGCCCCCCTGCTCCAGAGAGCTCCTCTCAGTGAGGCTGCAGCCCTGAGGGCCCCCCAGGAACCCTACCTAGGGTGGGTGGCGCTGTTTTCCCTCCACCTCTAAGACCTCCTGGGGAGGACCCCTTCAGCTGAAACTGGGACCCCGATGAGGGGAGCTCAGGTCAGGGCAGAGAAGTGTGGGTAGTGGGGCTGTGACACCCCCCCCAGGGGTGTCAGGAGCTGTGGGCTATTCGCACAGGTGCACACACACGCTGCCAGCCCATCCACTCTGGGGCTACCCCAGGCCAGCCCTGACCACGCCCTGTTCCCCGTTCTCATTTCTTCCGCGGGATGATTCATTCAGAGAAAGCAGACCCCTCCCTGGGGTGCAGAAGGCCCAAGGCCGTGTGACCAGCCAGGTGTGACAGGTAAGGCCTGACAAGTTCTTCCCTAGGGCCGGTCCAAGCCCATCAAGGAATCTGATGAGAACGGGGCTCCTGAGCAGGAGGCCTGGGGCTGCAAGAAGTTGGGACAATCAGCCTGAGCTCCTGGGCTCAGCCATGCCTGAAGGCAGACAACCTGGCCCTTAGATTCACCGAGTTCATGAGTCAGCAGCCCCCACTCTGTGCAGGCGCAGGTTTCCAGCTGCTCAGGAGGGAAGCCCACATCCAAGGGCTGCAGGAGGGAGAGGAGAGGGCGAGCCCAGAGGAGGCCTTGGGGACAAGGATGAGCGGCAGAAGGGGTCTGAGCAGGGGAGTGCTAGCTGACCACAGTTTCTGGCTCAGAGGCCCACTGTAGTGGGGGAAGGGGGGGCTGGGGGAAGCGGGCAGAGACCCCTGTGGGCCTGAAAGTGTATTGGTTATGTGCTGGGGCAGAGTCCAGGCAGGACCATGGCAGGGAACAGGGAGGTGAGGAACATGGCTGGCTGGTGGCCAGGAGGTACAGAGGAGCAGAAGCAATAGCTGGACTGTGGCCAGGGCCAGAGCCTGAGTGCAGGACAGGTCTGCACTGTCTGCTGGAGATGGGACACACAGAAGTCTCTAGGCGGAGTCCGAAATCAGACTGAGACGCCTCCCTCTACTACCCCACAGTCAGACAACCAGCACCTTGGGGAGACACCGGCACCCAGAGAAAGACTCTAAGGGACTGGGATGGGGACAGGAGTTCAGGTCTGGGCTAGAGGGTGAGGGGGTCCTGCAGACCAGAAACCTGGGAGTGTTGTCAATTGGCACAGAAACGGGGGCCGGTGGGGGTGAGCCGGGAGGCAGGGAACTACGGTGACACAGGTGAGGACCACTAGGTGAGCCCCCGAGGGTCCGTCCCCAGCACCCCTACTTTCTCCTCCCCTCCCTCTTCCTGCCTTAACACTGTGCGGCTCTTGCCTTCTAGAACCTCCTGCCCACCAGAACAGGGCCTGGCAAGGGACGGAGGGTGGGGGTGGTGGCACATGAGAGGCCACAGAGCCCCAAGGGTTAAACATGTTAGACTGCACTTGGATCAAGACAAACGAGCCATTATGTGAAATGCTGAAGCAAGATAAGTGATGGCATTGGGTGAGTGAGATCAATAAAAGTGATGTTTTATCAGGTAGAAATGACAACCCAGCTGATCGCAATTCGTTTTTAATACCACAAACCAATTGGGGACAGGGGCTTTAATTGTTCTTGCCCGGCTGGGGCGAGGTGGCTGGGGGCTGGGTGGGGAGCAGACCCAGGGGGGGGACAGGGGAGCTCGGTTCTGCAGCCTAGCCATCAAGGGGTCATCCAGGCACTCAGCCGGCCAAAGGCCAGTGGCTGGTCAGGTTCCTAGTGGCCTCCCGAGTCTGTGCAGCTTCAAGAGACCCTGCCAGGCATGGAGGGACCCACCTCTGGGGCCCCTGGGTGAGGAAGTGGGCCAAGATGACACCAAGAAGGGTGACCCTAAGGGCTCCCTTGCCTCCCAGAGAGAAGCTGGGGTCTTGACCTCCATTCTTCCTGCCACCCACCCTCTGCCGCCACCCGCTCCCCTTCCCCAGCACTCCCCATGACAAGTCAGCACCCCTCCCAAGCCATTTCCGCTCTGAAAGTCAGGCCACCTGCTGAGACCCAGGATGGTGCCAGGAACAGGGCTGCTGGTACACGAGCTCCAGGCAGACAGACAGGCTGGGGATCATCAAGGCGAGCCCTCACCCAAAGCCCCCGGGGCCAGAGGGGCTCAGGCCTCCGGAGAGAAGGATGAGTAGAGGTGGGCCAGGCAGGGTGGCCAGTGGAAGTACAGCCCGGGACCGCAGAGTCCTCGTCTGTGAAACGGGGTCCCCGACTCTTGCCACTGAGGAGATCGGGGGAGGTTGGTGGGAGGCAGTGAGGGATGTCTGGACCCACAGGTGGGCCAGGGTCTTTTCCTTGGGCCACATGCCACTGCCCAGGTAGGGACTGACCGACAGAGCCCCAGGCTGAGCTCCTCACACTGCCCAGCATGCCGCCGCCTCTACACCCTCCCCACTGGAAGTGAAAGGGCTCCGAATGTGGGGACACGCACAGGCCCGAGCTGGACACGGTGGAGCCAGATTCCACACCCCTGTCTGCCTCAGGGGCCTGGTTCTCCCCTGCCTGGTGATGCCTCAGGACCTAGGAAGCCGCCCCAGCATCTCCATCCAGGGGCCCCCGGCCTGCCCAGTGTCTCTGCTGAGAATTGATGAGGCTTCCCTCTGGGTACACTGGGGGTGCTACCTGCCCTTCCCCAACAAATATTCACGGGGCCCGGCCCTAGGTGTCAAGTATGTATCCCCCTGCTGCCCCAGGGGGGATGTCAGATGGGTCTCCAAAGCCACACCTCCCTCCTTCCCTCCACACTAGCCTGAGGCCCTAGGGCCCCCACACAGCCCCTGGCCCAGCCCTGAGGATGGGAGGAGTGTGAAGCTGATGGGGCCAGCACTCTAGGACAAAGAGGACCTGAGAAAGAGAATCGGGGTGAGCAGAGGAGAGGCCAGTCATTCGTCAAGCTCTGTGTCCTCCTGAGGCCAGCCCAGGCCCCCGGGAGAGTCTCCACCACGCCTGCTGGGGTCCAGCCCATGGGAGCTATGGGCCTGGATGGGGTGCCGTGGGCCCTGACGGACAGTGCTGGAGCCCCTCCCTTCACCCTCCTCACCAGGAGCCCAGACCAGTTCTGGTGGGAACAGAAGATTCAGTCACACCTAGCCAGCCTGGTCAGCATGGCGAGAGGCCAGTGTAAGACACAGGAATCAAGGCCGTAAACCAAACCGTCTGGGGTGGGCAGGCCACGGCTCCATGACTGCACATTCTGCTATCTTGACGGCCCATCCTCAGAGACTCCCATCCCCACTCCACACCCTCAAGAGACCTGGGAGGGCCCAATTCAGGCATAAAGAGGACAGGCTGGCCTCCAAACTGCCCCTCTAAGTGCTGTGCCATATTGAAGGGATGAAGCCTGGAGCCAGCGCTCTCCAGGCATTTCCATCAATTCTGAAGTTCAGACACATTTCAACTTCTACTCAGCCTACTCAAATCTCCAGGGCTGGGGACAAGGCCCTCCCCAGCATCTAGAAGCAGAAAGAGCAGCCAAAGAACGGTTCTGTCACTTTGCTGACGGAGAGTGAGCCGCTCAGAGCCCAGAGAAGGGCTTGAAATAAGCTCACCACACAGCTGTGGGCACCTGATGCCACTGCAGGGCTTGGAAAAGCTTTTCTTAGGTTCAAGCTTGGGAAAGTTTTTATTTTCTCAGGTTCCAAGTTCCCTTGACAGTGTCCTTTGCCCCCTTCCACTGCTTAGATTGAGCTTTCAGGCGCTCTCTATCTTAAGCCACCCCAACCTCAGGATCAGCGGGGCCTACTTGAATGAGTGTTTCCAGCCTGACTCTGCAGGACTCCTGAGGCAGACTGCATCCGTTTTCAGAGAAAAAGCAAGACTGACCCAGCACCCTAGGCTTGCCAGGCCAACGCCCATTGTTCAGGGAAAACCTTTACCAGTCCTATCTCCCTCAACGGAGAAGGACAGGGGCCCCTGGTGACACCCAGGGCTGGCGGGGAAGGAGGCAATGCCTCCCACCCTTCCCAAACATCCTAGAATCCGCCATCCTGCCCATCAGAGGACACGGCCTACATCTTTTCTCACCTCCCGCAGATGTGATCGGCTCCTGGCAGGAACACAACTTGTTTCCATCTGTCTGCTCACCCAACCATCCATCTATTATTTCAGCAAGTATGTGCTGAAGACCTACTGTGTGCTGGACCCTGTGCCAGGCACCATAATGCAGCATGGAGGGGATGACACAAAGTGCCTGCCCTCTGAGAGCTTGAGCCCGGCTGGGAAGAAGGCTGGCCCAGAAACCATGGCATCCAGCAAACCCAGAAGCTGTGAACAGGGCGCCAGGCGGGGAGCACAAAGCAGCTGCAGGCTGAGAAATCCAGGTCAAGGGCCCGGCGGGAGGGAGGGGAGCTCCTCTCCCAGGAAATCCAGCCCCTGGCAGAAGCACTTCTAGGGG